AAATGTCATTAACCTTATCTTTCCCTCCAAACTCAATATTCTCAAGAAAATAGATATTTCCCGTCTAAAAGAAGGATTATTTTTGGGATCTTAGAACTTATGTCCCCTAGATATTTTAGCGTGTCCAACAAAATAGCAACAAACCGAATCCAGTTTTGTTCTTGTAGACCTATGCGACCTTGCCTTAACTGGATAATTCAAAATATGGAAATGCCTATAGCTAGCTTGTTTGCACGTCCATAATCCACAAGGATTGTTGCTTTAGTTGGGACACTGTTCTATCTATAAGTTGCAGTCTTTTATGTCTTTTTTCTTTTAGTGAATTTAACTAAGTTGTAGAACTTGTCATACTACTTAGCCGATTCTTTAGTTTTCGAATTCGTCTAATAATAACACTATTAATAGTAATACTTTTCGGCATAGTGATACTATATGACATACCATATTCACTAAGAAATTTGACCAGATCCTAGACATAGTTCACCTAATACTTAATTAGTTTATAAAATGTATTTAGTCTTAAAACTTTGAACAAGTTTAGACCTTAGTACTTCTCAGTAATGATAAAGAGGTAGCCCTGGGAAGTTGTTTGGGAACATAATACAATATCCGTATGTATTAGTTCTAACAACATCAGAAAAATCTTATGCCACCCAATCTTATTTTGTTTGCTTGTTTCCTTTTTTTTAAGTACACTTAACACATATTTGTTTAGAATCTGATAAGTCAAGTGATTTAAGAATTTCGGCTAACTTTATTATTTGTCTAAAGCAAGTGCCTTAAACAGTTTTACCAAACGGATACGAAATTCCCATTACCAAATTTTCTTTTGGTACCACATAAATTATCATGCAATGTTTGGTTAATTGCAGCAATGATCATTAGTAAATAAAATGTTACCATGACTTAATAAAGAACTGAATTGACTTTCTTTGAATTTTGAAAGAGACTAACAGACTGTGACCAAAAGAACAAAGTAGCCGTATTTTGTTCAATATGGAAACATAAATGAAATTTCGTCTAAAGATGGAACAACAAAGAACTCTTTCAAAACCAAATAAATTTCATTCTTTTAATGATAACCTAAAAAATTTTATTACCTCAATTATAATTGGCTAACATATGCGCCATATAGATGTGTCTTTCAACATCAATTCGCTTTTGGTGATTCAACCAACCTAACATAATAGATACACTTATATGAGTAGTAGTACCGGAGTCTACTCACTAAGTATGCTTAGCTAGGTACCAAAATAGAATGAACCTTAAAACAAACAAAAACAATTACTATGTAATTCCTTTAAGTCAAACAGAGAAGCACCACCACAAAAGTAGCAACCAAATTTAATTTCCTAATTTTGCTTCTTTTGTGATACTGTATACTGCAACTTAATTATCATTCTTTTTCTATTTTTTATTTTCCAAATGATTTAAACTTAATTGAGCACTTATTGATTCTTTTTTATTTTCCAAACGTATATTCATCTCTTACTTTAATCTCCCTTCTTGTACACAATATGAAATGAACTCATTAAAAGTCCCTTCTACTTAATAACAGTAAAACTGTTCATAACCGAATCTCATTATGTATGAGAGAGATGAACTATAACTTTAGTACCTTAAATCTTAATTCGAGATGATACTTTTAAATAATGCATTTTCTTATGTTCCCGTTTTTTTTATACCTTCTGGAAACAAGATCTTTTAAAAGAGAACTCGTTCCCACAAGTAGGAATAATTTGTTTTGCATTATTTAATAGTGCTCCTTAATGTTTCCGAATTATTTGTTTCCTATATTTCTTAAATCCTAATGGATTTATTTGAAGCGAATATTACAATTATAGCGGAATCAATTGTACCTTAAAATGACCAAATACAAGCTCACATTCTAAACTTAATATAACATGATTAATAAATTCAAATTGGCATTCCCATTTACAAGATACCTAGTGCAACATTGAATTTAGTCTTTGGACAGAAACGTCAATTTGCAAGTAGTACTCTTGGCGTAGTAATCAAATATTGACAATTAATTCCTGTCAAATAATAAGTCTTTCTTTAGACCGACTTATTATTCACATGGAAAAATCATAATAATTATCACATATTTATTACAACAAGAATATTTTAATTTCGGCCAAATAATGACCTTCCTTTGAGCCGATCATTATACGCATGAAATCAAAACGCACATAATTGGCATCTTTGTATTTTAAACTAATCAATCGATACAAAAGAGGTCACTTTGGCGACATATTGCATCAATCAATCAGTTTAATAAATATTAGATGTCCGAAGATAGATTATCCTTGTGCCAAATTTTAAATTTATATCACATTAATATATAGCCAAAAGTTTAGGGAAAAATATAAATTTTTTGTAATCAACTTAATAGTTCACAAAGCGTGCGCATCAAATTTAATTAACATGCATATTAGGCAAATGCATAACCTGGGATTCAACACCAAAAGTGCATCGTGCATGTTAATAACAGCCCATATAAACAATAATTAATCACACTGCTTTGATTTGACTAAACTGAACCTTCACCAAAGCAAAGAGCCAAAGATTAAATGCCTTAAACGAAACAGAACCAAAAAAAGACATACTTTGGACCTCTCAATTTGGTTTTAGATAGATTCAGTTAATATTTTAATAACCAAAAAATGCTAATGATTCAAAAAACTATATGGAGGTTTGGGTTTCACACTAAAAGCTTAGGTCTAAATAGTTCTGAAATAGCATTAGGAGCAACTTAAATCTTCAAAATTAATTGAATAAAATTATTAATTTCCAAGAATGAAAAAAGCATCAAGGCTTGCTAAATTTTGAAAACACGCAGGCATGCTAAATGTTTACTAGCCATGCATTCTTGACTGAGCAAATTCCCCAAGTTCATTTGCTTAGGATAAATATTGTATTATAATGGACCTACTTAAATGCCCAAATTCCTTTATCCAGGATAAATTCATTACTTAAGGAAATATAATCAAGCAGAAACTAATCATTTGATTAAGTTACGACCTAAACCACAAACCGATTAACGACAATCAAAGTGGCACCAAATTATCAATTTTATCAAAATAACCTATTAGCCTATGAATCAAAAATAATTCTAGAAATCGAAACCATAGACGAGTTCTTTCAACATGAATTAATTTGGATCACGTAACCAAATAATGAAGGAACTGAAGTCGTAGAGAGTGAACGGCAAAAAAACTCAATCTGATTTTGTAATTCAATCACCCCCCACAAAAAAAAAAAAAATTCCGTGATTCAATCTACTATAAAAATTATGTATTTCTAAAACTGAAAACGTAATGATCCAACATTGTGCTCATTCAAAAAATAATACCGTCGCACTTGTCAGATTCTTACGACCAAACTTCACGATATCATGGTCGGCGGCCAAATCTCAAAATTGATCACTGAACCTAATTTTCGTACAACTTAATATTGCTTAGTACGAAACCGAACTGAACCATCTTAATTGAAACCTTATCAATCTTCGAAGTGGCCATCCCAAATACGATATCTTAAAATAAATTGATCAGAATTAACCAAATAATTTAAGAAAACAAAAGATTTTCAAAACCAAAGCCGCAATGAACCAATATTAATTGTGCGGAACCAAAATATCACATACGGAAGCCGACGCACTAATTGGATCATTGCAATTGAACTTTAAACATACAGATAATCAAATTCCCCAATAATCGACATGAAGGGTGCTCTGATACCACTCTGTAGAGACCTTCACATCAAATTATTGAGAACTACAAGAAAGCGGAAGCGTACCTTAATCTGAAGTGGCAAGAACATCAATCCGGTTTGGCCTTCCAGATGATTCCGTCAAGCCCTTGTGGGAACCTCTGACAAATGGGGAGTCGGAGATTTGGCATGACGGCTCATCCGGGGACCACAACCAATATATAATAGGATTTCTGGTTCCACCCATCACAGAACAGGAAACTGGACCTTAGGGCTTCTACACAATACTGGGCCACACCTTATAACTTAATTATTATAATTAGTCCAAACTTTAGTTGATTTAATTAGATCACTTTATGTGGGCTAATATTTTATGATAGCTTATAACATACAATTATATATATTTATGTATAAAGTCCACATAGATCTTATATAACATTCACGCCATTGATTTTTTAAAATTAAAATAAGACAATAAACATAACGGTTGTTTTGAGATTAATGATGTGTAACTCAAAGAAATTGGAACCCTTACGTTGTACTCTAAATTTCTTGAAATGCAAAATAATGAAAACCGAAAGAATACTAAATTAGTAATCTATGAATTAATAAATTTGAGTAATTAATAATTGTGTACTGTCCTAAGGTGGGATTGATTAAATAATAAGATAATTACGTTTTAGAGGTCTTAATATAATAATATGTATTGTGGATTACATATTTTGGCAATCCCTGAATTAAGAAGTGTGCAAATGCACTTTGGTTTCGATTCCATCTTATATACTACCTCCGTCCCAAAAAAATAGTTCACGTTGAGTTTTCAAATTTGTACTAAAAACAGTACAAAACTCAACAGTCAATGTGGACTATTTTTGTGGGACGGAGGGAGTATATAATTTTATTTTAGAAAATTCCCTATGTATCTATTGGTCTCGAAAACATGAACTATTGATAGTTCTACTGCTAGTCAAAGATGATATGCACTATATATGAATTTTAGTATTCATAACAGTTTTAATACTTGATTGATTCGGATGGTAAAGACAATTAAAAATTAAATAATTTTGTAGGAATATTTTTCCCTTATAGAGATTACTTAAATATTAATAATTTATTAATTTATGGATTATTTAATAATTCTCTAAATTAAGTAAATTTTTGTTGCCTTAGCACTATTAATTTATAGAAATATTTGTTAAGATATAGGGGTAAGTGTGCAGTTTTGAATAGCACAGGGGCTTCTATGAAATAACTAGATTAAGTCGACGTTTTCAAAGCGGCGGACGGTCCTACTATCGGCGTCCGATGTTAATTTCAAACAGCCCCTTGCCCAGACCTTTCCCTCCTCTCCATCGTAACAATCATCATCATCATCATCATAATTTCCCATTTCTTCGTCGTCTTTAACGGTTCAAGGATCTGTTTCTCACAGGCTTATTCTGTTGGATTTTAAGGTAATTATTCCGTATCCTTTTGCTTTCCTGTTTTTCAATTTCCTTATCGTGTTCTGTTCTGATTTTAAACCTGGTTCATTTTGACCTAATTCGTTCTTCCTTTCTCAATCGATTCAGTTTGGGGTAGTCAATTAGGTCAGCAGTCTTCCGATCAGATTTAAGCGTAGTTAGATTAATTTTGTCAAATTCTTTTGGAATATAAACTCTGGAATTTTCTTTCTGCCATTATGTTAGGGTTAATTGATCCGGTTATGTATCTACCAGTTATTCGGTAGTTCTGTCTTTGCATATTTGGGGATTCTGTACTGTCCGCGTTATTGGTGTGAATGTGTTATCATCTAGGCAATTTTGAGCTCATACCCTTTGTTTTGGTTTATTAGGTTATGGAAATTGAATTCTGATGTGTTAGTATTTGGTTCTGTTGCAGAAGAAAGTAAATAAGTTGATCTAAACACCTTAATCATGAAGCATTGCATTTCTCGGAGTTACGTGAATGATTTTTCGTGATTAGATTTTTGCTGAAAAGTCATGTTCCGCGAATGATTTCTAGAGTCAGGAGACTGGAATAGTGTAAATAAGTTCCACATAGTTTTCAGCTTCATTTTAGAGATGAAGGTGTGAATGGCTTAAATTTTTTTTGGAAATTGACCAAGTTTATCTTCAACCTTTTACCTCATTTTTGTTATTTTAATTTTTGATTGTTTCTGTTTTATATATATATATGTTTATAAATCTTGTGTTCTTGGCAGGAGCAGTGGCTGGGAACCATGTCTCGTTTTCCTTCAAATATTGATGCACAATTGCTTCCTCAGCAATACTTATTACAACATTCGCAGAGCACTAACTATAATCCACATCCCAACCTCCACATGGTTTCCTCCAATCACCAAGGACAGCACGCCATCTTCTCCGTTAGTAACCCTACTGCCACAAATGCTATCACTGCCAGTGCACAAAACAGTAATAATGTAAATATTACTAGTCCCCCTTCATCAAACATTCAGCAACAGCAGAAAGCAAACTTGAACCGAGTCAACCCAGCAGAACTGCGGATGGCTGAGCAAGATGCTTGGCGTGTCTGCCATCCTGACTTCAAACGTCCTTTCAGTTCCCTTGAAGATGCTTGTGAACGGTATGCTTTTTTTTTTTTTTTTGGTGCAAAACGGTATACTTTTCAGTTACACTGTTAGTTACTGTTGTTAAGATTAAAGTAAATCCAATTTTATGAAGATTTGGCAGAAGTTGCTCTATATGGTGTGAATACTTTTATTTTTTCCGTTCAATGAAGATTGTTGGTCAAGTTCTTCAACTTATTTTGAAAATTCAGGATTTCGATTTTAACTTGAAAAATTTCTTTGCCTCTGAAATAGTATTTCTTTTGTTCTTTATTCTTTCTCTCTCCCCTCCCCCCCCCCCCCCCCCCCCACCCCGCCTTTCGGATAGGTTCTCTGTTTTACTTCCAACTTCTTACCCATTGTTCTGTGAAATTTTAGGTTGCTACCCTACCATGTGGTAGCAGACTATGAAGCAGATGAAGATGACAAGATTCTGGATTCTGATAGTTCTGGCCAAATGCTTTCTCGATCACAGCAGTGGGATCACAACATTGCTGCTAAAGTGGCAGAGTTCACCGCCACGTTGGAGAAGCAAGTCCTTGCATTCAATATAATTTCTCGCAAGCGAGATTTTGGGGAATTGCGATCGGAGGAGAAGTTGATGATTGAGCAGCTACTCTTGCAGGAGGAGAGGCGGGCTCTGCTTGAAATGCGGGCAGAAATGGACTCAAGGCAGAAATCAGCAGGTCGAGAAACTCAGGAGTCTAACGTGCGAATGGCAACCATGGTTCAAGCTGAGCAAGCAGCTCGAGGAGTAGATATGCATTCTCATGCAGGGATGCTGATTCGAACCCCTATCCGAGCAAGTGCTATTGGATCTCAAACGAACAACGTGCCTGCTGGTCATGACCTGAGTCAGCAGGACCAGTTGACTACTACTGAGGACATGATTAATGGATGGGGTAACAACGGGGCAAAAGATGAAAAGGAGCCATCAGATGATTTCTTGAATGATGAGGAAACAGAAAATGGAGACACAGCCACACAGAGCGAGTGGCGAGGTGGAGGTAACTTGGATTTAAACTCAAGATAGGCTTCAACTCTAGGCATGCTAATCATAAAAGGTGAGGTAAATGCATTGCTTGTTAAACGGCTGTTCCTATTATGGCAAGATGTTGGCTCAGATGACTCTGTTTCTGATCACATTGCATTGGTCTTCCGTCATATATACTGCAGGATGTTTATCTGATGGGGCTGTTGGTACTAGTTTATGTTTCTGACAGAGTTTTGTTGTTTATCTGCTGTAGTGGAATGAACGCTTAGATGTTTAGATGTAGATGGAGATGTATATGTATGCATATAGCCGGAGTTGAGCTCATCGACATTATGCGTTTCTCCATTATTGCATCTCTTCAAGTCGAACAATCTTGGAAGACGTAGAATTTGATTTAGGATAATTCCAAAGATGTTTTATGGCAATATTGTTGTTCGAAAATATTTGCTATTCCTGTCCTTCTGAAATTTTTTTTTCAGGGGAGGGATATGTCATGACCAGATTTTTTATTAGGACTTAGTTAGAATTTGTTAATTTTATGAGGATTAGCTGGCTAAATTTTAATCCTTCTCTTAGCTTTAAACAGGAATTAGGCAAGGAAGAATAGAGTCATCAAATTAATGAAATGTTTCTTGTATGTTAGTTCAATTAATCAACGTCTTCATCATCCTCTGATTTCTTCTTCTTCTTCTTGTTGCTTCTTCCGACCTCGGAAATCTGACCGGCCGTCAATTCTTCACACCTCGGCAACCCTTCTTCTTTTATTAATTCCATTCGTAGCCTGGATCGTAACAGGACAGAGGAAGCATTAGAAAAAGGCCCAATATAGAAGAACGAAGCCCAAGCCCAGGGTAGAAGATTGGTATTACCATTAAACAATCAATCGCCTAATTGAAAAAGCAAATATTGAAAAGAAAAAAAAATTGAAGAACTGGGTTAATTAATATGTTGAGCCCATTTCTTGATTCATTTCACTCGAGAAGAATGAATAAAATAGTAATTCTCTTTATTAAACTACTTTAACACGATAAATATGGTTCTTATTATGGGATGGAAGATGGACTGATTAAGGTTTTTAGAGAGCTCGATGATATAAATACTACTATCTCCGTCCCAAAAAAATAGTCCACATTGAATTTTGAAATTTATATTAGTTTTAATACAAATTTGAAAACTCAATGTGGACTATTTTTATGGGACGGAGGGAGTAATAAAAAAGATGAAATTCTTGAAACCATTGATGTATTGTTCATCAAACTTTATAAAAACAAACATACTCCCACCAAAAAGGAAAACTATTACAGTACAACACATGATTCCTTGGAAAGAGGAAGTATGTAGCACTGTCATTCCGCGCGCGAATGGTAAATGCTCAATGGTTTAAAATAAATATCTCAATTCAAGAGAATTAAATTACTCCATCTGTCCCAAAATTATTGTCCAGTTTGGGGTCTGACTTTTAGTACAATTTGAACTAGAAATGAAAACTCAAACTGAACAATAATTATGGGACGGAGGAAGTACTTTGAAGCTGCCTTTACAATTTCATCACCTCCCACACAGAGTGACATTTGTTTCCTCCATGATACTTATAAGCTTTTCATCATTTGAATACGTGCTTGACAACTCCAGGAAGGTGGACGTTCATGAAATAGTCTTCCCAATCGATACTCTTTGGATCGAAGTAAAACATTCCCTCAGCGCCTTTTTCCCTAATAATTTGACGCAATCTTTGGGTGTTCATCTCATCATAACTGTACAGTAGCATAAAAGAAAATGTGGGCAATGCTATAACAATTTTGAGCATTATGGTAAATACTAAACTTAATAAATATAAATTAAAAAAAAAAGTCATATAGATAAATACACTTACATTCCCTTGAAGAACAAATACGGTCCATAGAGATCGATCATCCGCATTACATACTTTATTTTGCGGTGACCTTTTTGGTATAATCTCCCAAAACTTTGGCAAAGTGCTGCATTCAGGATCTTCAAACCCTATACGACAGTACTTTTTTTTATTTATAACTAGAATATTAATTAATGAGTGGTTTAAAGAATATATCACTAAACTGAAGTAATATTTAATTTCTCTAATCTTATGAAGTTATATATGTCGACTCTTCCTATCTGAGAATGATTGTCATCATGAATTTTGTTATGGCATTAATTAGTGGAAGGGAGGAAAGTACTAGAAAGTATAAATCAAAGACAAGAGCATCCAAATAATTCTTTTAAGTTTTTCATCCTATATATATCATGATCTTTTTAATAAAATTCAGTTATCTAACTTCTTATTTCGTTCCATTCAAAAATTAACAAAACCGTTTCACCCAAATCAGATCGTTTTGAAGGTACAATAGTACATACAAAGCGATCTACTACTATTTGGTCCAAATAATAAGCCAAATATTGCACAAAACTGTTAAACGAAACGAAAGGGCGAGAGGAGACGTAAAATTAATGAAGAAGGACCTTTAAGGGGAGCAAGTAACGAATAGCCATGTAACTGCGAAACCGGTCCATAGTTTTGAGAACAGTGATTTTCCCTACTTTAACTGGTTTCCCTTTTGCGTCAATCCATGGATGTTTAGCGAAGTGTCTCTGGTCATAATCTTGAATTGAAGAATACAAAATAGGATTTGATCCTGAAGAACCAACATGGTAAATGGTCATCCCTTCTTCATCATTTGGTTGATTTATATGAGTCACAATGGCCGCCATCATCGCATTTACCACCATATCACCTGGAATCTGCATACGAGCCAAATTCAAATATTGTTTTCATGATTTTCATTTGCTAATCCAAAATCATCAAAAAGTACACGAAGTCATATTCATTTGTACGTACTCCTGCACATGCGGAGTTTTGATATACTTCCATTGTCTAAAAATAATTGTCCAGTTCTAAAAATATTGAAATCTCAAACTGGACGATAATTTTGAGACAGAGGGAATATAATACTATGTTTCGTTGGACTTGGGAGAGATGAGAAGGCCACTTACAAGATCAATTATGGTATTAGGATCACCAAGTATAAAAGTTAGTTTCCCTTTTGCATAACCAGCAGCAAAGCTATCGATGGTTCTGAAATCAAGCAATTGAACACTAATTTGATTACTGAAAGAAATGTGATACAAAAGGGAAGGAGAAGTGACTAATTAAAAAAATGTGGTCCTAATTATTTTGAAACGAATTTGAGAAATGATGAATAAAGAGTAAATTTACCTAAATCCTTCTATCCAACCAGGAAAAGGCTCTTTATATGTGCTGGTTATAATTGTAGGTCGGACGATGACAAGAGGGAAATTGCCTTTGGAACTTCCCAAAAGCATCTCCCCCATTGCCTTTGTGAAGACATATGTATTTGGCCATCCAAATTTCCTTGCCCTACACAGTAGCCATCACATACAAAAAAAAAAAAAAAAAAAAAACCCCTATCAACTTAATTACTACTTGACCTCAACAACTGTTTGTTGAGATAGTACTCACGCCTGGAAGGAAAAAAAAAAAAAAAACTTAAATAAAGAACAAAGAGAAACCTCTGAATTCCAAGATCCTTCATGGCTAATGTGACATCTTTTTCAGTAGCATTCTCATCATCCAGCTCTTGTAATTTTTCATCAATAATTTTCTTCTCATTCTCCACATCTAACCCAGGTGTCTCATTGAGAGTCTCCCCCATGTGATAGGGTGTTTCAAGAATTACTCCCTCCGTTTCTCCTGATACATAAGCTGAATAGAAATAACAATTATCTTCTAATTAACAAATTTTCACAGCTGGGAATATGATAAATATGATACTCCATCCGTTCTATAAAAACAGTCCACACTGAATTTTGTGATTTGTACTAAACAATAGAAATCACACTTTGTGGACTATTTTTTTTTAGGATAGATATATAATATAATAGAGAAGATCATAATATGGAAAAACATTTTTTTTGGATTTCATTTTTAATATAATTTATAATAAAATTAAAATCTAAAATAAATGATCATTTCGAGATGGAGGCTTTGATCTCTCACCGGTTGATACATGTAGTAGCAGTTTTATTCTGGCACATCTTTTAGCGAAGTTCAACACATGCATAGCTCCCATGGTATTGATGCCAAGGGACACATCATATCTACAACATATAGTTGAAGAATACATTGTTAATTGGTTCGATTTTCTTGCTTCGATTGTGCTCTAAATTAAAATCTAAATCAATTTGTATATATAGCTAGTTTGAATAGTTAACAATGTCATACAAATGAAAAGAAATAGAATGCACATTTAACGTATACGATTTTATCTTCTCATAAGTATGACATCATTTACTGAATCATTTCGCTATAGGATTATAGAAAAGAGCATTAACGTAACATTTAATTTGTTATTGAAATGGAAATAAGTAGCAAACATACCTTTCATCAAAGTTGGTGGTTGCAGCTAGGTTAACAACAACATCTACTTCTCCCCACATCTCTTCCAACAAATTTGTATCTTTTATTCCTATATTTTCATAAGAGATCTCACCAAGCACAACTGTAACCTTTTGTGCTATGAGGGTATTGAAAGTTGGACCATATTTCTCTTTTAGAACCCTAAACAAGTCATTGGATACAATCTACAGAAATAACCAAACAAGTCATTGGATATGTAGTAAGAATTATAGAATACTTATGGTCACCAAAGCTTTTCAAATCAGGAACCTATGATAATTATTAGAAATTTGAACACCAAACCAATTATTAGTGGAGAGGTCGTAAGCTAGTTGTTCTTTACTTCTTCTTTTTTTTCCCCCCCTTTTTAAAGAAACAAAATGTCTCAAAACAATTCCGAATTAAGTACCTCAGAATTGAATCGTTGAATCCCTGATTTGTTATCTGGAGCCCTTAAAAGAAGATAGATCTTCTTCACCTTCGGTTGAACCCTTAGTAGTTTCTCAATAAATACTGCAAGCAACCACCATAAAACGTTATGCCTTGAAATGACTACATATAACATTAATACTTGTAAAGAATTTAGGAGAAAAAGGAATTAATACTCTTTGCAAGAAAACCAGCTGCACCAGTGACAATTATGCTGCTGTTCTCTAATTCTCGGACAATATCACCACCAGCAAAATCCATTGAGATCGTGAAGAGATAGTAATCAATGAAAGAGATAAAAGATTCAAGCTGAAATGGAATAACAAATCGGCGTGACAAGTTAATGTCTTGGGACAATGTTATATACTTTCCAATCCACTTGTTTCGTTATAGAATTCTTAAAGTAAAATGCATTCTTTGCAATTATTTAATTGGTAAAAGGATAGTTTTGAAAATTAAATTGCACGAGGAAGAGAAGTTGCACAGATGCTGTTCCTTTTTTCTTTCTTTTACCCAAAATTATTATATTTTTGGATGGCAATTCATAGAAAATCAATAAGAATCACACGCAAGAACAATATTAAATCTATAATAACGTGGCCCCATCTCAAGAGAGTTTTTTTTTTTTTTTTTGGACTATCTACTCTACCCTCATACCCATTAACCCCCCAAAACCCCCTATTTTTTTCCCATGGGAACGGATCTTGGGTCTTTCAGGATGGTCCTTCCTTCCCGAAACCACTGGAACAATTCTCGATTAATATTCTCTATTTTAAGAGAGTTAGTTCACACAAATGCACTATATTTTAATTATAAACAAAAGAATGTCGGATCAACACTTTAATTTTATCCTTATACTCAATAAGTGTTCACTAACAAATTTGTATATGGAACTGTATATTTTTGTTAAATACACCTTTGTAAAGTATCCGACCACATCATGAAACTCAACCTTCTCTTACCTGCATAAGAATTTTGGACCTCTCCATGTCAATTAATTTTGAGCGTAAACTCTAAATTCTTTAACAACTTCTATTTTGCTTACATTGAAAAATACAAAGTTGAAAAATACAAAGTTTTTTTTTTAAAAAAAAACTAATGATTTAATTTCTTAAAATTATATATTAAAAGAATGGAAATGGCAACCTATGGCATACATACATATTCTTTCCGTTTCAAAATGCTTGATCAATTTGAATTGTTATTTTCTTTTATCAAATTTTACTATAAGTGAAGATCCAAATTGCTCAATCATTTTTGAACAGATGGAGTATTGAACCGAAATGAGAAATATTAACTTAAAGAGCAATAATAGAGACAGTTAATTGTGACTATTTACAGTAAAATGAAATAGTGATTTGTGAAATATAAAAACATCATACTACTCCATTAATACCTACTAACATATTAGGGGACCGTTATATACTTTCATAGGCCTTGCATCAATCATTCATTTATAAATTATAGAATGGATATGCGCACATAAATTGACGGTATGGAACCTAGGGCAATTAGCTAGGCAACCTCAAGCGCAAGAAAATATCAAGATGATAGATAATCACAACGGAAATTTCTGTTGCGAGGGGGCTTTCATCGATTAAAAAAAGAAAAAAACGGATGTTAATATTATGGAAACGAATAAAAAAATGGATGCTAGTAATTAGTACATCTGTTGACGTTTCTCCTTCAAAAATGATTTTTCTTGATTCTGTATACAAGCCCAAAAGTAAAAGAATGCAGGATATTCTTGAATAAATTTGTAATCACAGTCTTTTGTGTAGCTTAAAATATGAATTAATTAAAGTACTATTTATGTTCCCAAAAAAGATAATTCACATTAAATTTTTGTATTTGTACTGTTTTTATATACAAATTTCAAAATTTAACGCGAATTATTTTTTTTTAAAGACAGAGTGGGTATATTTTATTAGTTAGCGCCTTGATGAGCATGGCTAAGTTTTCTTCGTGGGTAATACTTAATGAGAATACTTTCGTTGCGAGTCGATGTAAAGTTGTGATTGATTTATAACATTATAACGATTTAAGTAATTATTTCTTTGGTACAATATAGGTGTCAAAAATCAAGATTATCACACTAATAATGCATTCTGTTAGTAAGCTTAAATTATTTGACGGGTAACAAATTGCAGAATGAAATAAAATAAAAATGAACACAACTTGAGACCGATAATAAGGTTTTGGACCGAGAAAATGTGAGGAGATATGAGGAGATGATGGGGATTAAGAAGTGCCCTTACCCTAGTTGAGAAAACATTGCAATTGTAGATTGTTTTAATGCATTATTTTTCCTTCTTCTAGGCTTGTGATTACATGTAACTTGTAAGTTATATGAGTAACAATCTATAGTGATACCAAATATTTGGCATATGTGACAAATCCATTTGGTAAGTTATATGAGTAACAACAACTAGTTAGATTGGGAAAAAAAAAAAAGAGTGAGGGAGAGAGAAAAGAAAACAGATAGACGACAGATTAAAAATAGTGGGGATGGACAATAAAATAAATATTTGAATTTAATTTGAGACTAACATTTATCAAATTCAAAACATTAGATCTTGCAAAAACAATAAATCTTCATCAATTAATTAAACCATATATATATAATAAAAAAAATAATACATTAATTTCCATTAAAGTATTCAACACTTCAATTACTGGCCGGCCTTCAACAATAATAATTCTGTCATGCTAGCTATGGAATTCCACTTTACGAATAGAAGTAGTAAAGCTCTGCCTTGATATATAATTCAGACAACCTTTTTTTTTCCCCTTTTTTTTGGGGACTTTTTACATCATTTGAATACGTATTTCACAATTCCAGGAAGATGGACGTTCATGAAATAGTCATCCCAGTTTATACACTTGGGATCAAAGTAGAACACATTTTCAGCACCTTTTTCCATAATAATTTGACGCAATCTCTCTGTGTTCATGTCATCATATCTGCACAAATTTGAAATGTTGTATAACTTCTCTTCCGTCCCAAAATAATTTTTCGAATTGATGATAAATAATGAAAAATGAAGTCATATATGGATACTTACACTCCCTTGAAGAATAAGTACGGTCCATAGAGATCAATCATCCTCATCACATATTTTATTTTGCGGTAAAGATCATGGTATAATCCACCAAAATATTGGCAAAGTGCAGCATTCAGAATCTTTAAACCCTGAAAAACACATATTTGTTAGTTAAGAAAGAAAAGTTTGAAGTTTTGATAACTAAGTAAATCAGGCAAAAGGGTTGAGGGGTAAAAAAACTAAACCTTTAAGGGAAGCAAGTAACGAAGAGCCATGTAACTATGGAAACTTTCCATAGTTCTTAGAACAGTGATCTTCCCAACTTTAACTGGCTTTCCTTCTTTATCAACCCATGGATGCTTGGTGAAGTACCTCTGACCAAATTCTTGAAGTGAAGAATACAAAACCGGATTTGATACAGATGAACCCACCTGGTAAATGATCGGTTCTTCACTTGGTTCATTTATATGAGTCAACATTGCTGCCATCATGGCATTCACCACCATATCCGCCGGGATCTGTGCATTAACGTTTGTTAGTCACAGTGTCTTGAACTAAGAGTCATGTTTGTTGAACTCGTCGAGAAAATTACAGTAATGAGACTTACAAGATCAATTATGGTGTTTGGATCTCCTAGGAAGCAAGTTAGTCTCCCTTTAGCATAACCAACCGCAAGGCTATCGATGGTTCTGAAATCATGAAAATTCTGATCATTTTCAGTTCAAGAAATTAATATTGTAATAATGTTTGAAAACTGAAACAAGAAGGATCAAGAATATTACCTAATTCCTTCAACCCAACCTGGAAATGGCTCTTTATAAGTGCTGGTTACAATTGTAGGTCGAACAATTGCAAGAGGAATATTTCCTATTAAACTTCCCAAAAGCATCTCCCCCATTGCCTTTGTAAACACATAAGTGTTTGGCCATCCAAATTTTCTTGCCCTGCATTAGCCATTCAATACGAAATTATGTGAAAATTCTACAATAGTGAAGAATTGGATATTCTCTCACCATTCCCTTAATCTTTAGCTTGTTGGAATCAAAGATGTTTGTCACAAGTGTTACTTAATTTACTTTTATCATTTGAAAAATAAAATTCACTATGTTGAACCGTATCAATTCAACTATACATAAAGAAAACTATTGCGTGCTGGACCAATGAATTATTTTCTTTTGCGCCATTCTCATGCATGAGTGTAGTAGTTGAAACATTTACGTGACACACTACCGCGTATGTTCAGTCAAAATCTGGAAACAAAATGATATTATTTTGTTCATTTAATAGTAATAGAGTTGATAAGTTTTTCCTGAAGAAACTTGGTTGTTCACCTAATGAAACTGAATTTTTTTTTTTTCTAGAAGTATCTTTTTAGTCCATGCCGATTATACATTATATTAACAGGACATTTGAATTCACAACTACAATAACATTAAAATTCAAAGTACATCCAGGTAAATCCTAATTCATTCGAGTTTTCTTTGCGTCTAATCAACCAATGATAGATTGGGATACAACTTTTCTATAGAAAAAAAAAAAAGTAAGCATAAAAGTTAGGAAGATTTCCCTCCATCCAAAAAAAATTGTATTTATTGTACTCATTCCGTCCCAAAATTATTGTCTAGTTTAAACTCGATAATAATTTTAGAACGGAGGGAGCATTATTTTACAGGACAAGATAGATTAATACTAACCTTTGTATTCCAAGATCCTTCATGACTAATTTGATATCTTGTTCAGTAGCATTCTCAGCTCGAAGCTCTTTCAATTTTTCATCAATGATTTTCTTCTCATAGTCAATGTCTAATCCAGTTGTTCCATTCAGAGTCTCGCCCATTCGATATGGAGTTTCCAGAATTAGTCCCTCTTTTTCTCCAGATACATAAGCTGTCGATTAAAGAAAAATGAGTACAAAAAGAAGTTTCAAAGAGTATTTTACAGTAATTGAGCATCTATTATTGATAGGATTTTAAGTTTTCTTTTCTACTTCTCTTACTGTCATGTGGACACCATAAATGGGATTTTTTTTTTATCCACCCACAACTTGCCAGACATCTCAATTTATTTCTCCCTATATGAATGCCATATTCATTAATCTTCATCAGACCGATATTCATAAAGGAACTGACACAAAAACTGAAAATGATTTAACATCATTATACTTCTGGGCATATTACCAGTCAAATAATTGAGTAAAATTTATTCTAATTAATTCTCCCTCCGTCCCAGAAAAATAATTTATATTAAATTTTTAAATTTATACTAAAATTAGTACAAATTTCAAAACTCAAATTAGATTATTTTTTTGAGACAAGAGGTTGTAATATTTTCAATCCAGATCAGTCGGGATATCCAGTGATTTCGGATATAATATACCACAAATATATATGTACGTAAAATCTGACACTGCCATGCGACTGAGTCAAATAAAATTCGACCACTCAATTAATCATCTAAGTATAAAATTTTCTTTCGAGAATGGTAAAAAAAAAAAAAAGAAAAAAAGTGATCACTCACCTGTTGATACATGGAGTAACACCTTCATTCTAGCACATCTTTTAGCGAAATTCAACACATGCTTAGCTCCCATGGTATTAATTCCAAGGGACACATCATATCTACAAAAATTTACATATAGTTGAAAGATTAATTAGAGTCCACTCCTCCAATCTATGATATTCTCAATTAGGTGATACACAAGCAATTTATATTACATTTATTTTACATCGTGTTATTGATGATCAATTTGCATTTCTCTATATGTATCAGTACCAAATTCTTTCATTTTTTTTCAATCATTTCACTGTATGAATTTATCAGAAATATTGTCCAGTCTAATATTCAAGTCATATTTTGAAGTACGTAGAACTAGTAAACATATCATACCTTTCATCAAAGTTGGTGGTTGCAGCTAGGTTAACAACAACATCTACTTCCTTCCACATCTCTTCCAACAAATTTGAGTCATGTACTCCTAGATTTTCACAAGTGATATCACCAGGTACAACTGTAACCTTTTGAGCAATCAGAGAACTAAAATTTGGACCACATTTTTCTTTTACAACCCTGAACAAGTCCTTAGCTATAATCTGGATGACCAAAAAAAAAAAAAATCAATAAATAAATAAATGTTGAAAATTAGCTACAAATTAAACTAAATACAAAACGAGTATGTATCCTACCGTATGTGACAAATATCTCTAGCTAGAGACCAATTTTATCTGTCTTTCTGACATATTAATTGCACATGTAATTTACTCCCACATGTACCACCACCTCGTTCTTATACATGGAAGGTATGGTAAATAAAGTTGGCCAATTCCGGTGTAAATGTTGACATTGACTATTTTTTTGTTTAGTAGAAAAAGGTATGAAAAGAAAAAATAATTATCAATATATTTCTTATTTTTTTGAAAAAAAAAACCACTACAATTGTCTATGATGCAAATATTTTTAGTGAGAAAATATATTTTATTAATGCATTACAGAAAAGTTACATATACAATATTTAGATCCTCCTCGCAAAAAGGGTTGGAAAAAATTCCAGTTAAGTGCACTTATTGGTTTTTTTTTTCTTTCCAAGATAATGAGGGAGACTAATCTCATTCCATCGGAGTGCACTCTTTCCGGTTGAAACGGGTTCAAATTTTTTATTACTATTATTGAATACCAATTTCTGTTAGTCCTTATTTTCCTTCATGATGAGACACTAACAATGCATCTCTTACTTTGTTATGAGCATCAAGTAGATGCAGATATTGCTGCACAATATCAGTAAAAAGGTTATGAAATGGTAGGTTTTCTTGAAAGACGAAAAAACAAAAAATCATATATCATATGAAATATCTTTCACAAAACTATGCACGAAATAGCGGAGTTGATATCGCACCATGTCAAATGCAATTTTCCATACCGAAATGGCCAAAAAGTCGTTTTCTGTTTGCAATAATATTACTTCAATGAGCGAGCATTTTTCTTTAACATAGACTTACTTTCTTTGTACGAAAATTATTATCATGTATTTTATTATTTTGAGACGGAGGGAGTATCAGACACAAGTCCTAACTTCAATGTATGGTATACCTCAGAATTGAACCGCTGCATGGCAGACTTGCTGTCATTAGCCCTTAAAAGAAGATAGAGTTTCTTCACATTTGGTTGAACCCTTAGTATTTTCTCTATAAAAACTGCACCCCATTAACAACAAAGAAAAGTCAGCAACAGAAACACGGATTAAAATGCAAGAGTTAATTAGATGGAGAAGAGAAGAATGAAGTAGTACTTTTTGCAAGAAAGCCAGCTGCACCGGTGACAAGAATCGAGCTCGACTCAAGGGATCGAACAAGATTGTCCAACTCCATTTTTAGAAATTTTGAGCTAACAATAATAAAGAAAACCAGGTTGCAAAAATATAGTACAAAGAATTAGATGAGAAAGGTGTTCCCCTAGATGTTGTGGGACAAAGAAGAATGTTTGGCTGAGACAAAAGAAATTGTTTGGGAAGCGATTTCTATATATAGGCAATTGAAGCGAGTGAAGTAAAGTGAAGGTAATAAAGGGCATTTTTGTGGTGGTTGAGTGCACGAAAGCTTTTGGTAGATTGACACTTAAATTATAAAGTAGATTTGGTTTATGTTATTTCATTTATTTATTTGAAATGTATCACGGTCTAACCCTACATATGCCAAATCTTCATTAAATAAACTTTTTGATCATTGAATTGAATAATTTAATTTGGGTTTTGTTCCATTTTTGTTGGTGTGTGATCACCTAAAATATACATGTTATACAAATTTTGTAGGTCACACACCATGTGGCAAAATAGTGTATAGTTGGGTGAGGTTTTTTTAGGGGGTGGGAAATAATAGGTAAACCAGCTTTTGTTGGTTGGATTGAGTCTAACCTAATCCCTCTCCAAATGTTTAACAATATTGATGAGGGATCCAAAGACTTGTGCAAAATTCCTTACTTGTTTCCTAATTTTAATTAGTATTTATGATGTTGTTTCAAAAGGAAAAAAAAAAGTATTTATGATGGATCATGCAGATATTTATTGAGTGTTGACTTCTACTTCTTCTTCTTCTTCTTCTTCTTCTTTGTTTTGCCCATGTATGCATGTTCAATTGTCCAAGCATCTCACATCAATGCATTGCATTTTCCCACATTATAGGATGAATTGCATTTCTTTTCTTTTTTTTTTCTTTTTTTTTTCTTTTTTTTTTTTTTTTTGGCCGTGTAAGTTCACCGTATTTTCACTCACACTCTTAACACGGATTATACAATTTACAAAAAATTGTAAACCGGCATTCTCTGGAGGGCTTGGTTTCCGGGATCTAAAAGCTTTCAATGTAAATTGTATAAATTGAAATGTTACAAATGCACGGATTTGTTCCCTTGATCTTTTAAACCTTTTACACATAACCCTCACAGGTGAGCACTTTGAAGGCAGAATAGGCAAATCGCGACATGTCTTCCACTTTTTTATGAGAAGCTGAATGAAAATCGGAACATGTAGAATGTATAAGATGATCTTGTCCGAATTCAAATGGGTTAAATCTAGTATAGCGTTATAAAAGTAACGTACGTATACGTAATTGTTAATGTTAATGTCTACGAAATGATGACTAGTTGTTCTCAATCAGATTCTAGGTTTTATCAAAATTTTAATGTTGTCATTGGTGAATGGTCGTCTAGATTTCGATTGAAAATTTCTTATTTGGTAGTGTAATCGGCCTCATAACTTTCCAAGATCAACTACCAAATTAAATACCAATTTCTAACCCATACTTCACCCATTTTTCAATTAACCTAAAGTCAACTAACTAAAAACCCAATCAACCGTGAGATATATATAATCTAAATTAGATAATAATTTTGAGACAGGAGTAGAAGACAAAAAAAATAAAATAAAATGAGGAAATCAGATAACTAAAAATAGCTGCTACATCATATTTCTGTGTAATAAGAGGCTAAAAAAATTTAAAGTTTCGAGGCTTATTTCTACTTTCTACAAAGATATTAATCAGGTATCAAAGATATATATCCTTTAGCGGTTCAAAAGAAAAAAAAAAAAAAAACAATCCGATAATGCTCTCGTTATTACCTCATATAAATATTCCACTTTTTTCAAAACTAACTGTGATATATAAAAATGAGAGGTACAAACAAATTAGTTTCGGGTTGGATTTCAACAGCGTGATACATTTTTGACATTTTTTAACATCTACTTTATTTCGAATATTGGAGACTACAATTTTATTAGCTACTAGTGTGACCATTATATTAACTACATGTCATTTTAGTTTCTTTGAATATGTTGTGATACTCCTTTGCTTTATTCCAATCTTCCTCTGAAAACCTCACTTTTTTTGCGTTCACCATACGGCTAAGGGTAATGGGGAAGTCTTGCATTCCTGTCCTCGACAAGATTCGGAATTTCAATCTTATGAACAAGATTACAAATTATAATCGCTATTTCAGGTGTTTCACCGTGAATTATTTCAATTATGTAGTGATTGACAGTTAATGGTATCTTAAATCCACAGGAATTGGCACCGATCTTTCTCAAATTTTCCTCCCGTGCATGGGAAGCAAGCTATCAAAATTAGGTTACAACAAAGGGAAAGAATTAAAGTCAAGATTTGATAATGAAATGTCTTTTCGGAACAGAAAGCTGTCAACTCTTTTTGAATCTTGCAACTCACACATATTTTTGGTTATAAAATCAGGTAAGACGCCTTAGCTATCAACATCCCTTGCCTATTTACATACAAAATTCATGTGCATGCATGTGGTGAAGTTTCACTATCATTAAGATGGCAAAATAAGTTTTCTCCATTTCAAAATTAATTAGCAATAAGGGGAGTATAGCCCAAACACTTATATGTTGATGTCTCTTTTGGCGCCGATTTGAGATTCTCAATACTCTCCGAAAGCTTAACGGAATTTTTTCTATGTTGGGCTTGACATATTTTTTCAGTCCAGACACCGTTTCACGTCTCAACCATATTGGTTTTATTACATTAGTCTTTTTGGAGTTTGTTTTTGACGAATAGGCTCTGATATTATATACAAACCCATGAGATTTCACTTCATAGTCAATTGGCATTGGGGAATAGAGTGTAGACATGTAAATATTGATAGTTGCATTCTTGGATGGCAACGTAATGTTATACTCTCTCCGTCCCACAAAAATAGTTCACATTGAATTTTGAATTTTGTACTATTTTTAATATAAATTTGAAAACTCAATACAAACTATTTTTTTTGGGACGGGGTAATATATATGATTAGGATTAGGGTTTTACGGTAACTAAGTACAGAAGATTTAGATTGACTATATTACATATTCTTAACAGTTTTCACTTAACAAACAAAACTCTCTTTCACATTATCTAGCCACTTAGTCACCTTGAAAATTTATCTTTTTGATGAGTATTCTACTTCCTCCAATGTACCACATTATAAATAGATCAAATTTACCCTCTTCTCTCTCTCTCTCTCTCTCTCTCTCTCTATTTTTTTTTTGAGTGTAAAATTTATTCTCTAATAATTGCTGAATAAAGAGCTTATTCATTGTATTGGTCGGAATTGTATTCTAAATGCTTGCGAACTTGCACACTTTTGGAAAGCCCGTATCAGACGAGAAAAACATTTGATATATATACTACTCTCCTGAACTTTATTTGCCAATCGTAATTCGATATTTCATTCTTATCTATTTAATAGATTTCCCACTTTTTGAAAAATATTTGAGCCCCCCGTTAAGGTTAATTCAAATCAAGATGATTAGGACATTGGAGGGAATGAATCATATATATTATAATACATATCAAAGATGATGGAAAGTTGAAACACAAAATAAAAATAAAAAATAATTCAGTCAACCATTTGTCGACTTATATGTCTACCAAATCCAAGTCGATGATTTAAGCTTATGAAGGTCTGTTGACCTGTCCGTCTATCCATCTAAGTTGATGACTAAGTCGACGACAGAAATTTCCTTTTCTTTTTTTTTTCTTTTTTTTTTAAAATTTCTTATTTGATTTTATTTTAATTTGTTATAATAGTTTCCAGAGAGTATGTATTTGAGTATTTTTGTAATTTCAAAATAATTAATGAGTGAGTAATTATTTATTTTTAGTTAATTTTTTTCTCTCTGTTTTTTTTTTGGTACAAGGAAGAGAGGCACAAAGCCTAATTACAAGAAATCATCACATATCGTGGATAAGAGACACCAATTAGATCATGATCTATCCCGGATCACACTTGATTCGGAGGGTCTGGCAAAACTGATATCCACCTGGACATTTAGAAGCTAATTATGTAATACAATCATGATGGGGTGTCAAGCCAACAAACAATTTAATCTACTTTCAAACTAGTAGCATAGAAAAGCAAGGTCGTCTCCTCAGGGAATGATAGATTCGTTTCTTGCAAATAAGTAATCGAAAAGGGGGTTTTGAGTTATTAAAACTAAAATGTAGTTAAAATAAAATTCAAACGATAGTTAAGAAAAATGAAAGCAAATTATGAAAAAGTTTCTAGTCGAAAGATTTTATATCCACCTTGGTCTAGACAATTGATCATAGATGCAATGATATGCTCAATCACTTATAGGCAAATTAGTTTTCGTTGTTGGAACCTCCTAACAACTCAATCTTGAACTAAGTTTAGTGATTAAGAAAACCTTCATTAAACACACTAGTCGAAATTAAATCCCAGAACCTCCTAAGATTAAGAAAACAACTGCATTAAGTACAAAGACCCAATTCTGATTCCTATGAAACAAACCTTGTTTTTTAAAAAGATCAGATTACTTGTTCTTATAACATAACAAAATCACGTACCAAGTAATTTAATTGTATCAGTCCCTTTTAAAACAACAAACCTTGCTATGTTATTGGTTGTTAACTATCATGTAATAATGAATGCTACCAGCTATTCATGAATTCAAAATCTTCATATCAATCAATCAAAAGAACAAGCAAATACTTACAAAGAATTGAAAAATGAAAAACATTTAGATCTTACAACTATTAAGAACCAAGGTTTCAATATCTTTCAACTGAAAAAGTAATTTAATTACACATAATAAAGCCTTACTGAAACAAAACTATGAAAAATGGAGAAGAATAACGCCCAAAAGGACTAGATTGACGGCTTTGAGAACCACTCCAGCCTCCTCTTCTTCTTTTCACGTTCAGCCCCCCTCCAAAAGAAAAGAATAAAATCAATTTATATGGGAATAAGTAGGTCAGCCGCCGGAGACAAACAAAGAATCCCGAAATTTGCAATTGGGTCCCTAAAGTATTGACTATTTATAATTTGGCTCCAAAACTTGTTCAATTTTATAATTTAGTCCCTGTTTCGGTTTGGCCAAACAGAAATGCAGCATCAATGCTGGAATTTCTTCTATTATGCTCAACTTTTGACTGAGATTTGTGTGCCCACATGAGAATGTGATGTCATTGCTCCCTTCTTGTGCTTTCTTGTCAAAATGCTCCAAAAATGCATGTTTATGTAACATTTTTCTCTATCTCAACTCCAATCACTCCTAAGAACCAAAAAAATCAAAATACACAACATAAGTGCATAATCTAATCCAAAATATTAGACAAATATCCATAAATAACATGAAACTTCAAGACCTATCAAATCAGCTGCAAAATTAGCTTCTCTATACACATTTTTCAACACCACGGACATTTAGTTAATTTTTCTTTTCAAAGGTCTTGTTTGTAGTTGTTGTATACGGATTTTCCTTGCTTTTGGGAGACACTGTAGCTAATATAGGGTGATTTTATGATAAATTTATATATCATTATATATATTATATTGCGAGAATAAATTTACATGACATAAATTAAAAGTCTTAAAATATTGTGGTAAGCTCACAATTTCATGTTTCTCAACGCATTTTCACAAAATTGATGCTTTGGAACACATCAACTTCATTCGTCTACCATCAGAGTTACAAACTTCGCTTCAATTTTATTTTTTTTATTTTTTATTATTTTTTTTAATATTTCAAAATGCTGTTTTCCGCGTGATGGTTCGAATGTTTGTGTTTCATCCAAGATTTCACAGTCATGACACTTTATTCGATACGTCCTTCCTCTACTCCACGTCGTGTTTTCTAGCAAGATTCATAAAAGTTTTTCCTTTATTTTTTTTTTTAAAAAAATAGTTGGGAGGGTAAATAAATAAATTTAACAAGGATATATGAATTAGGAAGTAGAGATCAAATATAGCACTCTTCTAGTCTTCTGTCCAAAAATTATTATCCTTTAAATTTTTATTTATAATTCAATTTGTACTAAAAATAAAAATTAAAATTGAACAGGAAGAAGAGAGTGTATAGTATGCGCACCAACTAATGAAGTTTAACTAATTTTTTGGCTTTTAATGAAACGCGTGAATTGTGTCTTTATTTGTGGGAGGAGGAATATTCAAAATTTGCAACTCCAATAATTACCGTTCGCCTCCAATGAAAATTCAACTTTAGGCCGATTTGTCTCCAAACTTCCTAATGGACAAAAGATTCAAAGCCCAGACGAAGAGCTACTAATAGTACTCCAATCATTATCGCCATGATTGTTGACAATTGACATATTGCAATTTCATGAGACGGTTTTCAGTGACCCTAACTTGATGCAATTTACTTTGAATTTTTCTAGAGCAATATCTATGTATTTTGACATATTACAACTGTTTAAAACAATCTCACTTCAACAAACAAATTGTCTGGAATCCTCCATTGCATGTAAAAAGACGCAAAATCAACCAGAACCCACCGCGCTGATTCGAAGGTTTTCTGGCAATTTCGGAGCAGTGATTCTCTCCCACTGTGTAAAAGGATGCTGGCAATAACGAAACAAGAATTTCATTAACGAGATATGAGATTTATATAAATCAACTAATTACACTTCATTTTATACATATTGTGGAAATTAGTGTAAAGTTACTCTAAAAGGAGCCAAGTTTATAGGCCTAGCGGAGCCAAGTTTTTGAAATTGGATGTATGTTTATAACAAAAACTAAAAATCGTGATGAATTACGCAGTGTTGAATTATGCAGTACAAAATAGAAGAAAGGAAAATTATTTATTAATTTTGTTGCATATTTTCTATCTGTTGAATGAATCAACATTTTTAATTCAGTATCATGAATTCTAAATTAAACACAAATTTTTATAAACCATTTCCTAAAACGATCCAAAGAGTCGGTCCCCAAACAACGAAGGTTGTTAAAGAAGCCAAATTAAAGGAAGCAAAACTGATGGTAGAAAAATCAAAAGGGGTGGCAGGTGGCCATGCACTGTGTATGGGAAGAGGAAAACTTAAATGAGGATGAGGAAATGATTATGTAGTTTGTCTTTAATTGATTTCGTCTCAAAATGAATTTGGAATCCTAAACATGAATTTAATGTAATGTGTCAAAATGAATTTGGAATACTAATTGGAACCCTTAAACAGCTGTATGCTTGCCTCCATTACATACTCATCATAGTTTTGGCTTTACTGTGAATATGATATGTGTCAATACGACTATTGCTCTTTCCTAATTTTCATATGAGAAATGAGGAAACTACTGTTTGTTTCATTTTTTTTCATTAATTTTTTTAGAATAATATAATAATATATGTCTCATCTCACCATGTTTTTTTATATTTTTAATACACTTTTTTCCATTTCTAATAAAAAAAATACCTAAAAACACACACTAAAAAACAAAACAAAGATTTTTTAAAACAAGTTTTTCATGGTAGGATTCATTCGAAAACTTGATTAAAGATGAATGACTTCTTTCTTTATCTTTTTTTTAAAAAAAAAAAATTAAAACCTTAACTTAGAAAACAAAATTATCTCTAAATAAATAAACATCTCGATAAAATCGCGTACTCCAATCATCTACATCTTTCTAATCAAACAAGATCTCTTTCTTGGCTTCAGGTCAAAGTTGATGGTCAAAATATGACACAAGAGGTATGTGCCTAATGTGCCCAAGTGCCCGCCACAATAATGATAGAACTACCATACAGAATTTGGTCCAATTTCTTCATTAATGAACTGCATAGAAAAAGAAGGTAAAAAAAAAACGAAAAGAAAAAAGGATACATCCCCCCACCTCCCACCACCCCAGAAACCTAACCCTGTAGAAGAAATTGACTAAAACGTAAATTTTACACAGCCTTTCAACGAGAATTAAGGCAGACAAACGCGGGCTGTAAGATTTTGCCTTCGAAATAGACAAGCCACAAACCGACAGAATTACTACGTACTGTAGTCCAGATTTCTTGTATCAAATTCTATGTGTTCATTAATATTGTTACAATCATGTCAAAGTAACTCGATGTAACTCTGTACACAGTTGTATGATTGTATCACTGATTCTGTGATTAAATACAATAATAAAAAAGACGAATTATAATAATTCAATTAAAGATTGCAGCACAACTCTTGTGATTGTATTAGTTTTCATTTTATTTAATATAATGATTATCATTTGAGAAAAAAAACAATTGCATCAAGATAAGGTAATGTAAAGTTTTGGGAAAAGGTCTAACACCCCTCGTACTGAAATAATTGTTTCATTTAACGCGTAAGGTACTGTAACAATTATATTTGGGTGGAGGCAATAACTAATAATATATCTTCAATGATGTGATGGAAAAAATGCTTTTGTGATCTTCACGTTTTCGAGTTTGTGCATTCTTGTTGAAATGTATATAACTTTATTAAAGCGTAGATTTTAAGCTTTCAACAAAAGAATAATTATTTTATATATGCGTCCAAGTGCAAATCAAAGTTTATGGATTAGTCTATGATGAATAATGGAATGAGCAAAGGCAATTTTCAAACAATGCCCAAACTAAGATATGAAATTAACATGTCAAGTTGTATCGTTCCCTTTATTGTACGTTATAATTCGGCCAAGTAAATATTAAAGAAAATCGAAGATGCCTAGCTAATATAACAAATACGTCCCATTTCAACGTTGTGTGAATTGATCGTGTCCAATTAATCACATACATAAAATCATATAGTAGTTCTATAGAACTTGAAGTTTTATACTCCCTCCATTCCAAAATTATAGTCTAGTTTAGATTTTCTTATTTAATTCAAATTATACTAAAAGTAAAATGTCAAAATGGACAATAATTTTGAGGTAGAAGGATCAGTACAATAGTTTTTGAATATATAAGATATAATCTTACCAATTTGCAAATAAGATTTACTGCTTTATTACTTTTAATCGTTAGTTGGTAAAAACAAGACCAAATCGTAATCCGAATCAAGTATATGGAACCCCACGTTAAATATGAATCTCTGTTACGTACCTATTGTTTTCGTGTCAAGTTGCCATAAGAAATAGGTGAGAATTTAATAATCATGAGAGAAATGCTATAAAAGGCATAACATAACACTAATTTGTCATACCGACACATTCTCCTAGTCCTACGTACTAGAGCATCAACATATTCCTTCAACAACTATTTCGATTTTCTTGAACACAAATTTTACGATGGAGCTGGCTGCTGATGTTGTCAGAGAATTGGAGGACTGCAGCATTATTGTCACTGGTGCAGCTGGTTTTCTCGCTAAGGGTATTTCGTTCATCCCTTCTTAATTCTATACGAATAATAATAGGCATAATGATTTTAACTTTGTGACTCGTACGTAATTCATTCAATATATACTATACCATTCTAAGCTTGTTTTATTAAAAATGTTGATATTACTTAATCACTGTGGTTTTTGGGCTTCTTGTGCATGCGCATCCAGTGTTTGTTGAGAAACTATTAAGAGTTCAACCGAACGTGAAGAAGCTATATCTTCTTTTAAGGGCCCCAGATGAAAAATTAGCGATGCAACGTTTTAATTCTGAGGTATGTTGAGTTAGCAGTGCTCAAGCCTAACTCTGTTTCGTAGTTTATCTGTTTTAAAATGATTATCTTATTTCTGTGAAAGCATTCAATACCATGAAATTGCTAATTCATGTTGTATCTAATTTAAATTTCAACATTCTTTTGGCTGATGTTGTCTCCATAGATTATATCAAACGACTTGTTCCGGGTTCTAAAACAGAAAAGTGGGGCAAATTTTAGTACCCTTATTTCGCAAAAGGTTACAGTTGTACCTGGTGACATCACTTGTGAGAATCTAGGAGTAAAAGACATGAATTTGTTGGAAGAGATGTGGAAGGAAATTGACGTTGTTGTTAACCTTGCCGCAACCACCAACTTCGATGAAAGGTAGAACAGAGATGTTTACTTTTTTTGGATGAATGGAATATATATTTGGGTGATGATTCGTTATTAAATTTGTAGTGTGAAATGATTCAGAAAGTTATCTAATACTCCCTCCATTTCAAAATGTAAGTCACTTTAGACGTTGCACATAAACTAAGAAAACAATCATCTAGTAATTAATTTATGTGTTAAATATCTGTTTTACCCCTCATTAATTACATTGAAACTATAAACAAGACTAAATGAAAATAGATTGGCATCATTTATTGTGGGAAAAATTGGAACAATAATCATTAATTTTACCTAAAATTTGTAAAACGACCTACATTTTGAAAAATCTTTCCAAGCCTAAAACGACCTACAAATTGAAATGGAGGGAGTAGTCTCTTTGTCCCCTCCCCTCCCCTCCCCCTCCCTCCCCGAAATAATATACACTGAATTTTGTACACAAATCTCAAAATTCGATGTGAACTATTTTTCTTGAACGGAGAGAGTACATACGAAGGACAAAATCATTAACTATGCATTTCCAAAGATTACCATAATATGAAATGATAAATTTTTTTTTCATGTATTGCATAATTAATTAATCATCCAAACTATATATTTTTTTATGCGAATTCAATAAAGGTATTATTTGACAAGAGCAGTAGACTCCAATTAATTGACATATTTCAACTAAATATATTGTAGATATGATGTATCCCTGGGAATTAACACTATGGGAGCTAAGAATGTTTTGAACTTTGCTAAAAGCTGTGCTAGAATGAAGTTGCTGCTCCACGTTTCAACAGGTAAATGATTGAATAGACCATATTGTCTCGTTTCTTTTGGTGTCGTTTTTCTTTGGTTGTTTGTCAAAGTTTCAGAAAAGTGTAAAAGTACAAACTACAAACTAAGAAAAATAAGTAATTTGATTGTGTGGTTCCCATTCTAAACAATTGTGTTTGTCAAATTACAGCTTACGTATCAGGAGAAAAACAGGGAGTGATTCTTGAAACTCCCTTTCGCATGGGGGATACTCTCAATGGGACTTCTGGATTAGACGTCGAGAATGAGAAGAAAATCATTGATGAAAAATTTAAAGAGCTCCAAGCTGAGAATGCTAGTGAAAAAGATGTCAAATTAGCCTTGAAGGGTCTTGGAATTCAAAGGTTTGTCTTCATTAATTCTTTATTTAATTTCTTTCTTTCTTCCATTTTTAAACAACAATAATCGTCTTAACAAATACTCCCTCCGGTCCTTATTATAAGGTATTATGATTTGTCCAAGTTTTCACCACTCGGATATGGTACTTGTTCAATTTGAGTGGCTTTCCAATGCTAGCTTTCATATATATATTTTTGTATGTGATGCCTATTGTGTACAGGGCAAGGAAATTTGGATGGCCAAACACCTATGTCTTCACAAAGGCAATGGGGGAGATGCTTTTGGGAAGCCTTAAAGGCAATGTCCCTCTTGTAATTGTTCGACCTACAATCGTAACCAGCACATATAAAGAACCTTTTTCCGGTTGGGTAGAAGGATTTAGGTAATGTTAACTCCTTCTGGATCATTTATTAATTTCCTAATTGTTTGTAGTCATCATGATTTGAGTAAATGACTTTTTTTGGGGGGAAAAGAGGGAGTACTTATTGTAGACATTTTCACTAATTAAACTTGTCGTTTATCTTCATAATTTCAGAACCATTGATAGCTTTGCTGTTGGTTATGCAAAAGGGAAACTAACTTGCTTGCTTGGCGATCCTAATACCATACTTGATCTCGTAAGTCATTTGCATTAATTTCTTTTTGCGGAAACATGACTCTTATACTAGACCCAATTATGTTCATATACTTGAAATACGCAATCGTTTTGTGACGATTCCATGGTAATGCAATGCAAAAACACTGAATGTGGATGATGTTCATGTGAAGATTCCAGCCGATATGGTGGTGAATGCGATGATAGCGGCCATTGTGACTCATATAAATCAACCAAATGAAGAAGAGATGACCATTTACCATGTTGGTTCTTCCGCATCGTACCCTGTTACGTATTCTTCAGTTCAAGATTATAACCAGAGATACTTTGCCAAGCATCCATGGATTAACGCAAAAGGAAAACCAGTTAAAGTCGGAAAGGTCACAGTTCTCAAAACTATGGACAGTTTTCGGAGTTACATGGCTCTTCGTTACTTGCTTCCCTTGAAGGTCCTTCACTTTGACCTTATTATCTCACCTTTGCTTCTTTTCATTTTGAATAAATCACCCATACAAAATCTAATACTATGTTATTGATAGCAAGAGCTATTTGGACTATTCACACTTTCATCGACCCTCTCCTTTAATAATTTTCTAACGTCCCAAAATAATTATCCTACAAACATGAGGCATTTTTTAAACCCCGTATCCGAAATCACATTAACATTCTGAATAATCAAGATATTCTTGGCAGGGTTTAAAGGTTCTGAATGCAGCATTTTGTCAATATTACGGTGGATTGTACCATGATCTTCACCGCAAAATAAAATATGCGATGCGGATGATTGATCTTTATGGGCCATACCTTCTATTCAAGGGAATGTAAGTATATATTTTACTTCGGTCATCCCATTTTAATTATTCACTTTATTTTACTAAAGTTAGTTTTATAATTTATACTTTTAATCTTCGTGGTTTTATTTAGCTTATTCTGATCAAATCGTTGGGGGATCATATCTATCAAACTTTCTGTTTTTGTATAGTTATGACGACATGAGTACCGAAAGATTGCGTGGAATCATTAGGGAGAAAGGTGCTGAAAATGTGTTCTACTTTGATCCCAAGAGTATCAATTGGGAGGACTATTTTATGAACATCCATCTTCCCGGAGTTGTGAAATACATATCTAAATGAAAAAATCGGTTGCCTGAATGAGATTATCAAGGCGAGCTTTTTACTCCAGCTTTAGAATTTGAAAGATTCAGAGTGTTTGATAAATGGAAATGTATTATTATTGTTATTTGCATTGGTTAATATTATTGGTTATATGATTAATTCAAAGGTTTATTATTTTTATAGAACATTGATCGATTAATTCGACTGTGAAATGAAACATCCTTCCAAGTTCAAGTATCAAATTTCCTTTGAAATTTAATCGTTGTTAATTGTTTTTGCTTACTAAACAGGTATTCTTAAAAACGAAAGCATGTTCTTAAGCAGACCACCAAAAGGCTTTTTGGTTTTATTTTTATTATTTCATATATAGAAAGAGATTTATGTTTAATAATTGCACTACCTCATTGGAGAATAAGTAATCCTCGAATCTTTATGACTAAAAAATAAGAGTGTACTTTGTATATGCTACCCAACTGCTTTTGTAGTTAGTTGCCAATGACGCTAAATAGCCAATTTTCAAAGTTAGTTCTAATTTTTATTTATTTATTTGTGCTAAGAATTTAATAGTATCATTTCATTTTATTATTTTTGGTCTTATTTTGTTTATTATATATTATTTTTTGGACTTATTAGTTTTTATTATCAATGTGACAAAGTATCGCCAAATTGGATTTGTCTTACACATATACAAATTCTTTTGGGTTTTTTTTTTTCTTTGTCTTTCCTTTTTTTTGGTTTACCAATTTGAAACTTTTAGGGTTTCGAAGCCTGTCATGAAATAGAAGGTTAAATTAAAATTAGTTGAAAATATAAGATCTGGTCGGCTTAAAAGTCAAACATGCTAGATTGCGACAGTTTTATCGAAGAAAATGTATGAAATTGCTTTCTCTTTCTTGCTCTCTAATCACAAAGCCGAACTGGGAAGAAAATGCTTTTGTTTGGTTGGCCCAATCTTTGATAAGCCCAATAAGTATCCCCCTTTTACCTCAACATTTGGTTTCTTTCTTTTTTTCTTCAAAAAAGTTATAAAAGTCTTGAGACTTTTTATTTATTTTATTATTTCATTTGGCGATTTCCAGAAGTATCCGCGTACTACTACTTCCTATATTCCAAAAAAAAAAAAATTCATATTCAGTATTGAGATTCGTGTGGTTTTCAATATAAATTAAAAAACTTAACATAGACTATTTTTTGGAAACAATGAGAGTAATTAATTTCTCTTGATTAGGTATTAATTTGTTTACTTGTTATCGATTAGCATTGTATGTTGATGATGATGCATAATGCATATTGGTTGGATATTATCCATATCAATTTGATTTTGGTCGATCCTTTTACCACTTGAAATCAGGAAGTAATTCCAATTGTGAAAGAGATTACTGAAATTGGTTCAGCAAAGTCACTATAATTTGGGAAACAGAATTTGGTAGTTTCCTGTTTAGTTTTAAACTTTTTCTTTTCCCTTATGGACTAAGCAACACGCAAACCTATTATCAATCCCATAGGGAGCAGGATTCAATCGCATATCACTCCTATAAATACAGAAGAGGAGGGATCTCTCTTTATTTCACACATCTTTTGATACGCAGCCATACTTAATCGTGGTTTGTATTGGTTATTACAAATTCTTTTCATATATTTGCATAGTATTCACCGTGAATGATAGTGATTAATTGTAGAAATATTATTAATCAACAATGGAGTCGTCTCAGGAGCCGAATATTAATTCAGCTCCCAAGTTACCAATCCCCGGGAAGAGGAATGTTTTGATCACCGGGGCTCTTCCCTACGTGAACAACGTTCCGCACCTCGGAAACCTGATCGGCAGCGTGCTGAGCGCCGATGTATTTGCCAGATTCTGTAGACTGAGAGGACATAACACTCTCTACATAGGTGGGACCGATGAGTACGGAACCGCCACAGAGATTAAGGCGGTGGAAGAGAAACTTACACCTAGGCAAATCTGCGACAAGTACCATGCCCTTCATAAACAGGTTTACGAATGGTTCGACATAAGTTTCGACAAGTTTGGTCGCACCTCGACGCCAACGCATACAGAGGTTTGCCAATCAGTTTTCAAGAAGCTATGGGAAAACAATTTGGTTTCGGAGGATACCATGCATCAATTCTATTGCGAAAATTGTCAGAGGTTCTTAGCGGATCGGTTCGTGGAAGGAAACTGTCCCGAACCGGGATGTGGATCCGTTTCCGCGCGAGGCGATCAATGCGATAAGTGCGAGAAGCCTTTGAACCCGACACAGCTACTCGAGCCGAGATGTAAGGTTTGTCATCGTCATTCTCTTGAAATTCGAGACACGAAACATTTGTTCCTGGAGCTCCCCGCGCTGGAGGAGAGGTTGAGAACCTACATTGCCGAGACGGAAACGCAAGGACATTGGACGGAAAACGCGTCCAAAACCACTCAAAAGTGGCTCGAAGAATTGCAAAAAAGGAGTATTACGAGAGATCTCGAGTGGGGTGTTCCCGTACCCCTGGAGGAATACAAGGACAAAGTGTTTTACATGTGGTTTGATGCGCCGATCGGATACGTCTCGATCACCGCGTGCTACACTCCCGAGTGGGAGAAGTGGTGGAAGAATCCACAAGATGTTGAGCTTTATCAGTTTATGGGAAAGGATAACGTCCCTTTCCACACGGTTATGTTCCCGTCGACGCTGATCGGAACCGACGAGGACTGGACATTGGTGAAAGGTATCAGCGCTACCGAGTACCTGAATTACGAATCAGGCAAGTTCTCAAAGAGCAAAGGGATAGGGGTTTTCGGAACTGACGTGAAAGATACCGACATTCCGGCTGAAGTCTGGCGATATTACTTGCTCGTAAACCGGCCGGAGGCATCAGACACGGCTTTTAACTGGGATGATCTTCAGGCAAAGTGTAACAACGAGTTGCTGAAAAACCTAGGGAATTTCATCAACCGTGTCTTGACCTACCTCGTAAAAGATCCCGGATACGGTTCCGTGATCCCTGACGCCGAGAATGCTGAATTACATCCATCAACTCAGGCTTTGGCTGCCAAAGTTGGTAAATGTATGGTTGAATATAAAGCTGTCATGGAAAAGTTGAAGCTGAAACAAGGTTTAAAGATAGCCATGTCCGTTTCGACGTTGGGGAACGGATATTTACAAGAAACTGAGTTTTGGAGACTTTATGAGGAGGATCGAACTCAATGCTCTATAGTCATGAAAACTTCTGTCGGGCTGGTTTATCTTTTGGCCACTCTTTTAGAGCCTTTCATGCCATCTGTTTATGCTAAAATACGAAAACAGCTCAATCTGCACCCTGAGGAGGAATCGCTTTCGCTTTGTGATGGTGATATTGAAAGGGCATCAAGACCATGGGAGCTTTTGCCTGGAGGTCACAGAATCGGGACCCCTTTACCAATTTTTAAACAGATTAAAGATAACCAAGTCTTTGGCCTGAGGAAACGGTTTGCTGGAAGTTGAAGATGCCTTGCTGGTTACCTTAAAATTTACTTGATTTGGTAGTTTCAGAATTTTGTTGACAAATAGTTTTAGACATGCGGTTACAATAATCGATTATTGGTATTATACTCACTGTAATGTATAATGTTGTTAATCGTGTTTGACAATTTTTCAGTGAAATTATTGAAAGTACGTAGTAGTCTTTACTTCAGAAAAAATTTAGGATTATTTATACCTTTATCGCACTTGTAGATAAAAATTATCTCGGACTAATCAACGTTCAACCTGCTACGTGAAAAAAATATTTTTCTTTCGTACTCAAAGGATAGGATTTTCATTTTATAAATTTTGAATTAAAAGTGAAAATCTAAACAGGATAATTATTTTAAATTAAAGCCGAAATACATAATTTGGTGAATGCAATCCCCCAACCCATAAAGAAACTCAAGCAATTTAATTATGGCCAAAAAAAAAAAAAACTTAAACTCCTCTAAATCCAAGGATTCTGTAGAGTTAGCCTGTTGAAGAACTCACACTGCAAATAACAAATTTGAAATCATCATCTATATTGTGTTCGATTCTACTTCTCGTTTATTTTTACCACTCCGAATTTTGATTTCTGGATGTCAATGAAATTCACTAAGAATTTTACCACATATATTAAGACCCATTCCCATATAATTTGCTTGGACTAAGAATCTTATGTAGAATCAACAACAGACCTAAAGAATCTACAACATTACTTGGCCCTTGTGAGACATTGAATAAAACAAATACTCCTCATCCCCCCAAATATTTATCCAGACTTAAATTTCACTTTTAGTACAAATCTTACAGAAAATGATCCAACTAGACAATCATTTTGGGACAGAGGAATTATATCATTTCCTGTATAACAATTTGTCCAAACATTAAATTCTAGTGTGCCAAAACAATGTACCTAATTAAAGAATCCAACACAGAAATTTAGGACATAATCTAACATCTTCGGATGAAATGTGCCTACCATTCTTAGAGCCTTACACAAATAGGTATGTACGTACGTACAGTATACAAATAATCAATGGGTGAATGAATTGAAGCAGCCTAGCCTAGGAAAGCTACTTGGCATAACCCCAAAAATCCATCTCGCCGCGGAGTGATAAATGGTTGTTATTGTTGTTGTTGTTTTCCGGCTGATGATCATGAGCAGAAGGAGCAGTAGAAGTAGTAACCAAACCATGATCAATCACACCCCATTCACTTAAATTATTTTGACCCTGATCATCATTATCATCACCTTTACCCTCTAACCCTAATTGGTCATGACTATGATCAGGAGCTAGGGTATTATTATTATTGCCATGATCAGTGCTTCCGCTTTCGCAATCTCTGGTAGGTGTGGTGGTGGCAGTGTTGGCAGCGCCACCGCTCATCACGAGTTGTTTGACTTGCATCATCGGTACTAGGGCGGACTCTGTTAGGCTAAGATGAGCTGAATAATGATCATGATAACTACCACCACCTCCCAAAGGGGGCTCATGAGTTGGAATGAAGCTCTGGGCTTGTAAATGAAGCAAATTGGAAGCAGGATGACTAGGAGCTGGCGGCACGAGCGAATTGTAGGTTAGTCCCATTCCAAGTCCATGATGTTGGTTTTGTTGTTGATGTAGCAAATACTGCTGGTGTTGTGCATAGGATGTGGTAGTATTGATGTGAGATTGGTGATGATTGGTTGAAGCATTTAGATTGTTGGTGTTGTTGAGATGAAGATGATGATCTGAGGATGCAACTCCACTTGATTCATTGTTCCCTCCTACTTTGAATAGATTTTTCTTCTTGAAAACCCTACATACAACCCAGCCATCCTCCTACAGGTATATACATATGTTTCAAATTAAGAATCAAAATGAACAAGTGATTGAGCTCTTCCAAATTCAAGTAGGGATGTCAATAAATATGGTTAGGAGAAAGAAATGAAAAACAAAATTATTAATCACGCTTTTGAATTAAGCAATATGGACCTCCACTCAAAATTTATACAAAAAGTTGCGCCTACTAGTCTTTATAGGTTTAACTTTTTTTTTATGCGAGTCTTTTAAAATGCTATTTTTATGTTAATTACCCCACATTATTTACTTTCTTTTTATAATCTCAATCTCTATTATAATTCTATTAGCTTTTCCATGTTACGCATGAAAGCATGGACCATAATGATTGATGTATAAATATGTTTCATAAAAAAAAATATATATATATATATATATATGCGTGTCTGCATGAAATTAATCCAAATATCAAGTTTCGAGGGTTTGAAATTATCTGTCTGTTGTGGATTTGATAGGCTATTAGTTTTTTTTCATATTTAGCCTTAATATAATTATAGCTAGCTTGTCATATGAAAACATGAGTATAACCTATATATCGCAGTTTGACTTTTAATTTGTCTTGCATGTATAAATTTCCTATCAGATCAAACGTACGTACGGGTTACGTTGTTTGACTGCATGCTGTCAAGCGCATATGTACGCTCAACTTACGGATTATGAGTTCCCGAAGAAAATACTCTCTCGTCCCAAATAAGAGTTTTGTTATTCTATTGTTTTAATTCAACAAATAAAATTCTTATTGCATGACGGATTAAATTATATATCTTGTATCCTAGATCAATAGATTAATTGATGGAAAGTAAGGAAAAGAACTTACATTATTGATGGGGTTTCCATGGGGATCAAGATGATCAGCGTCTTCAAGTCGATACTCATGCATGATCCAGTCAGTCTTCTGGCCATGTGGTGCCCTTCCTCTGTAGAAAACTAGGGTTTTTCTCATCCCAATCTTCTTGAAGGTGGTCCTAATGCATTTGTCCCTCCCTGTGGCCTTCCAAAAACCAGCATTGGTAGCTCTGTTTGTCCTAGAACCTGTTGGATACTTCCTGTCTTTGTGGCTGAAGAAGTACCATTCATTCTGCGGGGTCGACCCAATCTTACATCTCTCTGTACATATAAATTATGATAATAATTTTGAGACAGATGTTATCAAACTAGAATCAAGTATGCCAACAATCTTGGAAAAGTTTAGACTAAATATTAAACAAGCTAGATGGATTTAGATGAATGAAGATATAATGAAAATTAACTTCTAATCAATAGGTCCAGAGTGTTTATAATTAATTCATTTCCAGCTGAAATCATTTTCAAATGATGATAACCCAATTATAACTATCAACACCTTTTTCTTCTTTGGTTCCTATCATATGTGACACAACTTGGTGTAACATTTAACAAAGTGCATAAAGACAGAAGCCTTGAACCTTATTAAGGTAAGAAGATAAGATCAAGGCGTAGAAACAAACATAATAGATGTACCTTGTAGCTCCCAGGGCTCAATCTTATTCAGGTCAACTTCTCGAATGACTTCCATGTCGAACTTCTGAAAAGACACCTTCTTCTTCAAGTAGTAGTGAAGAAGCTCTTCATCCGTAGGATGAAACCGGAATCCCGGTGGAACCCCACCGTTTGATGAACCCATATATGTACGTTTTGGATCTTTGCTTCGGTCTCTAATTCTTCAAAAAAAAGTTGTTAACGAACAAATGGAATTGATGATGTTTTTGAAATTATGAATCCTAGGAAAAGCTATAAAATGCAGAGGTTTTGAGAAGAGAGCATGCTGCAAAATCAAACAAGCTAGCTATATAGGGAGTACTTACTGTTCGGGGGTGGTGGTGGTGTTAGGGAAGTTGACCGGCCGCTAACTCCGCCTCCGGGATTGCTTTAAAGTTAACGTACAATCCAAGTTTAAGGTATACTACTAGTATCACACTATATTAAATTAATGAATCATAGCATAAGATAATATTTATATATCTTTATTATAACTTTTTTGATGAGAAACTATTGCATATGCATGTGCATATGCGCCCACCATTCATGCATGAATATGAATTAAATCCTCTCTTATTTCCACCATCACATACACATATGTAGTTTGATATAAAGCACGACAACATTTAATGATTAGGAACTGTTACTCTGTTAGACGTATACTTTTTATTCGAGGTAACTTAGTTTTTAGCCTATACGGAAGCTGTACTATAGCGATTTCGAAAATATATGACCCTTACCATGTCATGGTGAAATCAACGTATAACTAAAACCATCTTGACAAAAACTACATTGATTTACTTTTATCTGTCAGCTTTAGGTTTGCACAATTAATAAGAAATAATAATGATTGAGAGTTTAATATTTAATAAGTATATTTTCTTTCTTATCCCTAATTAAAATTATTAAAAATCTACAAAAATTTAAAATTGAAATATAAAAAATAAGTAGTTGTCATTAATATATGTTATTAAAAGTAGAGCGAGAAATAAAGGTGAAATTAAAAAACTGTATTTAATGTTGTATTCGAAATGAAGTACGACAGATAAAAAGAAAATTTAGATTTACTTTAAAATGACAGATAAAAATAAACGGAGGCGGTACGTTTTTAACTTCATTTGTCAATTTTCTTCGGGACAAAATTAAAAACTCGCAATTCTCCTTGCCGGACACTATCATATATCCTTCACCACATGATAACAATTACTCGGTTATCCACGTCTTACTACTTTTTGTTTGTACCTGGAGTTAGCATTATCTAAACTGGAGATTTTCTTTGTGGTAAATTAATTTGTTGATTATATATATTGGCTACTACTTGATGAAATTTCATAAGTTTAGTATAGTAATGGTATAGGATGAGTTAACCCCGTGGCGACCTTAACAAGTAACTCGTCTGGTTATGGTTGTTCTGCTCTGGCAAGGTCAACCAAATGAGAATGTAAAGGGTATCAATGGTGGAGGAATAATATTTAAAAAAAAAAAAAAAAACGATCCCGATTAAAATATCAATGAGACTATGACGCTATTTGCAGTATATGGTTTAGTATATATGTAAAGATGTGGCCGGAATACTAGGGAGATCTTTGATTGTTCCAAAAGCAATGTCAAATGGTCAAAACTATACCTATAGTTATAAAAAATTAAACCAGCAACTAAGCCTAAGATACTTATATATACTACTAATATTATTTTGGGAATAATACTGCTAATTCAATCTCCTAGGGATTCTCAACCTCACTTGGACGGTATAAGGTCAATAATCTATTACTATCCGGGCTTCTAGCAACTATATATTAAGTCGTCGTTAAAACATGATATTATTATTAGTTGTACCAATAAAATATTTTTGATTTATGCTGCTTCTTTTGTATCGAAAGAAAAAAGATTCAAACAAATTCGAAGCCTAGCTACTCAAAAACCTCAGTAAAGTGTGTTTTACTTATCTCTAAAAGTAATAAACTATAATGTTTCATTGAATTTACGGCACAAGACTATTTTGATAAACACTTACTAGCTTGTTACTAGACCTTTTTTTTTTTTTTTGGTGAAAAGCTTGTTACTAGACTGCTAGTTGGAATTTTGTGCTTATAAACTACAAAATATACACAAATGTGTAGGTGAATACATAGTCTGATCGGAGTTTAACTAGAGTGTTTATGCCGCCAAAAATAAATATGAATGCAGAAGAAAATAAATCGGTAATCGCCATGGCTTGGGGGCTATGCGCATGTGCTTCTGATGGATGATGATTGATCATCAGCCAAGAACTTTGACATATCAAATTCAACATTATTATTTAATTACTTTTCTTTTTCTCTTCTTTTCCTGGTCTTCAAATACGGTACAGAACAGTAGATAAATTCCATCTTACGCATAGCATGCTTTAATCTTTACTAGGGCAGTACATGTTTATTCCACAGCGGGATTGGTTTAATTAATTACACAGATATTAAGTATGTCGAATTCCTTCATTCATTTACACGATACATGCATGTTTATATGAAGAGTACTTTTTCAAATTCACAGATTCTAAATGCAATCCATTCTACCAAGTGGAATTGATTGCATGAAATTTGTCTAGTGCTAGCTAGTTCGTTCATCTCTTTTTCTTTTTTTGGTTTTGGTAAAATTTATCTCTATTTTGTTTCAAAAGCAATAAAGAAAACTTCTTACTGTCTTCAATTTTGTATCTAGTCGTATTAGAGCATGCAAAAATCTTTATGAAATAATAATTGAGATATTATTTTATAAGTGTAGTATTTTCTTGCTCCTAATTAAAAGTATTTGGAAGGTAAAAGAATTAAAATTTGAAGTAAGAAAAAATACTTTTCATTAATGAATGTTATTAAAATAAATTACATACGAATGAAGTTAGAAAAAAGTGTATTTAATAATGTATTTAAAAATTGAAATGAACTGCATAGATAAAAAAAAGTATGTTACAAGTTAATACGACCGATTAAAATACGACCCAAAATCAGACTCCTGATTTGTTGTTGAGTTGTTCATTGGCAAGGAAAGGAGAGTTTATTGTGTTAAACTTCCAAGATGACCATAAAATGTACCCCTCAGTTCTAAAATTATTGTCCAGTTTAGATTTTTATTTTTAGTTCAATTTGTATTAAAAAATAAAAAGCAAAACTGGACAATAAATTTGGGACCGAGAAAATACTACTTCGATTCCCAATTTTTTACAATATTTCTTCGGATACGCTAGTTTAAGGAATTCACCGCTGCAGGGTGCTAAGTTTACATTGGGATTGCAAAGACTTGATTGATGCTTACTCCCTCCGGTCCTTACGAAAAACAAATGTAAAAGGAAGGTTTTTGCTGGAAATGTTAACGGTGAAATATTCCATTAATAATAGAAACATCTACCAAAGGTTTGATGGTTTTTCTTTTTAAATAATTGAAACACCGAACAAGTAGTTTTCTAACCACGATAATTTTTTTTTTATTAAAAAAAGTGGAGGCAACTGCCTATAATTGAACTTCTCAGGAATATACAATCTCGATTACATCATGCTCTAACCATGGTAGATAAATCAATTTCGAAGAGACATTTTGATCATATCAAAGCAAAAGTTATTTAACATCAAATACAAATTTTAACTCGTGATAATTAAACATACCTGTTCCAAGTAGTGATCGCATCTTCTATGGGTACTATATCAATCTGTGTGGATATATGATGTTAATAATTGTGGTTTTACAATGTATCCATTTCCTTTAATACTAGCGTTTTCCACACACAGATTGCGAAACTTATCAATGTCTCAAGTACGACTCTGTTCTCAATTCATATTTTACCCTCAAACAAGGACCTCTATAATTTTCAGTAAGTACTTAATATACTGAATTTGAAATTATTGGAAATATACAAGGAAGTTGCAAAGGAAAAAAAAAATTAATACTGCAACAGAAAAACATAAAAGTATATAAACGGGAAAAAATGTCCCTCACATACTTTTTTTGCGATTTAGTCAATGTAAAAGGACACATATTATATAAAAAATCAAGAAAAACCAAAACTCTGAAGTGCCTTGAAAAGAACTAAGGAGTACTATGTATTAATGGCATTCCCCAACTTAAACTAAGAATGTAGTTAGCTAATTTCATTGGAAATCCTTGAAGCTAAATTAGTGAACCAGCCCTTTAATTTGCAAAACTGTTGATATCTTTTCATCTCACTTAAACATTTCTTTTTTCAGTACAATGTAGGATCACTCAATGGCTCGAAATCTCAGCGAAATCATACTCCAACCATTGCGTGACATAAAAGACAAATTTTGAATAAAATAATATTAAAAATGTTATATTGATTTATAGTTAACTAAGACATTTTAAAAATCTAAAAATACAAAATTCAGAAAAAATGTTTTAAAATCTGAATTTCTCTTTTTCTTTTTTTTTTAACTCGTAGATCTCACCGTTAATGGTCGTTCTTCTTTCACTTTTATCCCTTTCACTGTAAACTTTTTTTTTTCCCTTCACTTAATCCCTTATATATCTTCATCTTGTTTTCCGGCCATATTTAAAATTGGGGTTCATAGTAAATTGTGATTTTTAGACGAGTTGCTGAAGGGGTTGGGAATGGGAGTGTGGGTGTTTGACCGTAGGAAAGAGGGATAAAATTTGAAGATGAAATAACATTAGAGGTGGGATCCACGGGTTAAAAAAATTAGATCTTTTTAATTTTTTTTGAATTTTAATTTTTAAATTTTTTAAATGTCTTAATTAATTGTAAACCGATACAATATTTTTAATATTATTTTAATTAAAAATTTTTATATTTTTAAAAAATTAAAATTATGCATTACCAAAAATACCCCTATTCAATTGACTTTAAAATGGTCAACAACCCCAAATGTTAAGTGTCAAAAAAGTAAAAAGGACTAATTTAGTAGAAAACACAAATGTAATGAATCAAACAAGTAAATTGTTAATGTTAAGAACCAAATTAAATTTTTTTGACAAATGTGAAGGACCATTTGAACATAGTACTCTTGAAATAATCTTTGCAAAATAAAATGGAACTAATCCACTAGAAATTGTCTATTCTAATTTGAACGCGTAATTGTCAATATCTACGAAATGAAGGAGAGAGATGCCTGCATTAGAAAACTAGAACGTTTACTTCAAAACCTTATTGTATGTTTGAACTAACATAGACAAAGAGTTTGTAAATGCAATGTCATGTTTGAGTTGTTGTCTTCAAAGTGATTTTGTCTGTTTTTTTTTTTTTCATATTTTAATTTTTACTTACTATTTCAGAATTGAACAATATTTTCTGAATATTTGATTATTAAAAAATTTCCAAATTCAATTTTTTGAAAAAAAAACTTCATAGTTACTTTTTTTCTCAAATTTTGAATTTGATTCTATTTATAATAATTAAACTCCATTAAAATTTGTTACTAGTATTTAACAAGCAAAACCCCTCATCTTCCCACCTAAAACATTTTACACATGCTCATATTTCTCGTGTAATGCACGAGGTAAACACTAGTAACTTATTAATTTTTTAAAAAAATAAAAAAAATGAACTTTGAAGGTGATAAAATATAGTGTAGATTATATGAATTTAATTTTAAACTTATCGCCTTGGATAAAAAATTTTAAGAAAAAATAAATTATCTTTATATTCATATTTTAATAAATCTTCCTGATCTTTTATTGTTATTTTGTGTAACTGCTAAATAATATTATTTAAACATCAATAAATTAATAGTCTCATAATCAAATTTTATTGATTTATAAATTTATTATTTAATTGATAAATTAATGTTAATTAATACATTGATAAATTATTAATTTAGAGATTTTGTTGAAAAAGAAACTTCCAATTTCTTAGAACGATGAGATAATTTCAAGTTTGGATTATATGATATTAATTTATAAATTATCTCTATAAATACAAATTTAAGAAAAAATAAACCATATTTTGAATCATATTTTAATAAATCTTGCTATTCTTTTGTTTTTGTAATTATTAATTAATTTTCTTGAGGGGAACAATATTTATATAGAGGTTCTGTGAAAAGTTATTGTTTATTAGTTTATCGTGGTTTTTATTTTTTGTATTGGTCCTGAAGTAGAAACAAAAAAAAGTAATTAATTTATAGGACTACTAATTAATAGATGTTCTATTGTATATAGGTAGGGGAAACTCATGAGATTTTTCGCACATATAAGCAAACTGGCTTTCATGTAATGTTCACAAGCCATATCCAAATGCATTTATACACCTAAAAAGAAATTTCAAATTACACATCAATATTACTTTTTAAAAAAACAATGTTTAAAGAAAATGAACTTTTGAAGTTGTTATCAAACTAAAATTTTTCATGATTTTGAATCACTTCATCTTAACTATGTCTTTTGTTCCATTATTATTGTTCGTAGCAATGATTTCTTACAACCTAAATTTACAAAAATATTCTCACTTTAATAGTTCACATTTACTTTTATGCATAAAAAATACCTCGTTAAAAATTTTAATAACTCAAAGTCTAAATTTAAAATTAGTGTTTTTTGTAAAGGAAGAAATTAATAATTAGAGAATAAAAGTTAGAATTGCAAAAACAATAGTTCTATTCATTTGCATGGCATTGGGGGCTTGGAATTGGAATTTGGGCCCCCAATGCCAAATCCAGTGTTCGGTTGTCTAAATATGGGATGGAATTGGCATTGGTCCAATGTCAAAAGACTTCCAATGCCATGATTTCAATTCTGGGCTTCAAGTTATTATTTGAGATTCCAAGATCTCGTGGAGTTGAATAGGGGCACGGTTTTTTTCGGGTTAGATTAAAAAACAGTCAGGTTATAAACTTTTCGGATCCTCCCCACCTTTTTTGATGGCTTTTATCTTTAATCTCTCTCTCTCTCTCTCTCTCTCTCTCTCTCTCTCTCTCTCTCTCTCATCTCACCGGCTTCTCTTTACTCCGTCACAACACCGACCCTTCATCTCCGACTCTGCACTGAACTTCCACCAATTGACGACGGCGAAGCTGAAGGCGAAGGAGGCGGCGACTCCGCTTTTTCTTATTTCTCCTCTTTCTTCCTTTCACATGGATTAGGGTTATCTTCCCATCATTCATTGAGATTTTCTTCTGATGCTTAGATTTTCAATCAAATTGGTCTTATTTTAGTAGGAATCTATCTGAATTTTTGTGGGTTTTGTTTATTGGAGTCAAATTCGAACTGGGTCTGTTTCTCAGCAGCCTTAATCAGTTTTTTCGTAACAACATAGTCTGCCGACTTCTCTTCTCCGAGTACTCCTCTTCCAAATCCGCCGTGCAAAGGGACTTCAATAAGGGACTTTATTGTTTCCCAGTCCAAAAATACAGCCTTGTAGTGTTTTTACCATAGAACAATAGCATTTTATTCTGAGATTTGTGTCCTTTTTTCTTTACTTCCATTTCCTATTTTATCTGTTCCTTCTAATGTAATTACAGCGTATTTGTGTTGGTTTGTTGCTTATTTGATGGGATAATCCTTCTAATGCAATCCCTTGAGGAATCATTTTTTCAACTTTCTATACTGAGACTTCTTCTTGCTTTTGTATCTGTGTTTATATTGTAATGAAAATTGAAATGAAATGTCAAAATGTAGTCTTGCGAGAAATTATGAAAGTGAGAACTAAATCTTAAAAAGAGAAATGCTGCCCAAATAAGCTCACAGACCGTGTAGAATTAGTAACTGTGTGGTGCTTCTATTTGCTTAATGAGAGTAATTTGTGTTGTTTATGGCAGAACTTCTGTTAGTAGCTTGTCTTAAAGCATGTTAAGTATTTCTTTAATTCTAGTTATCAAATTTTGCACGCGTAACATTTCTCTGGGGATAGAATATTTAGAACAAAGGTTTCAGTCATAATAGAGTCTGGTAGCCTTTTGGTTTTGTGTTTTACTTTTTTATGTGAACAATGTACACAATTATTATCATATGTTGTATAGATAACTTGAAGATTTTGTTTTTTGCTGCCTTATCTGTGGAAAAATAGTAATTGATCAATGCCGTTTATTTGAATGTGTAGATAATCTGGTTGAGAATCTCTTGGAAGGCTTTGAGTTTGAGGTTCAAGTTCCAGATTTATTGTATCGTAATACGGCTTAGGAAGTTAATGGAACATGGTTCTACAATGCACATGAATGTGAACAATCTACTTCCAAAAGTATGGTTTACGGCAACATTGTTCACCTGATGATCTTGTCAGTACATTAAGAGATAATATTGAAAATCAAAAGCTGCAAACGAAAAATCAAACAGTAAAGAAGTTTCATCTTCTTTTACTAATGCTTTTTGCTCTGGCCAAGTCCTGGATAGCACCGAATTATAAAAGAAGATGTTTCATCCGATGATGCTCTTTCAGGGAAGAGCACATCTCGGCGTATGGCATATGACGTATTGGATGATATCTGGTTAAAGTGCGTTGAAAATAGCATTCTAAGATGCTCAGACAACTGCTTCTTGACTGTGGGAAGCTTGTTTCAATATCTGAAGCTGAAGGTAACCTTTAAGACATACTGGAAGAATATTTGTTCTATATTGATAGTACATTCCTCTTCATCTTGTGTGGTTTTAGCTTCCAGATGATAGCTGCTGAATTTCTGCTATTACTCTTTTGATATTATTGAGAGTATACACTTTATGGGAGCATTTTCTATAGCTTCATGTACTTTATTTTTTGTACTCATAGCTATATTTTACTGTTTAAACTTTGACTATTCTTTATTGAAGATTTTGTTTTGCATTCTGGCATGGTTAATGCATTCTACAAAATGCATTTTTATCCATTTGAAGTCGTCATTCATTACTGATGTGTCTCATTTTGATCCTGCTATTAAAATTTGCCCTTAACTGCTTGGACAAAAAAATAAGATTAAATTGTCATTGTTTTTGCACGACTAGTTGCTTTGAAATATAATGACACTTTTGTGATTTCTTCATGGAGACTCACTCTCAAAAGTTCTATCCGTACACTTTCTCTGTTTCTTACCCCAAACAACTGTATGTTTTCAGAGAAATTGAGGGTAGAAGGGGCGTGGACTGGGGTCTTGGAATTAAACTTGGAAGAATGGAAGGTGCCCATGTTGAGAGAAGAAGTTGCTAAACAATCCGGCTGCTCTAATGGTCCACAGATGATCAACTTGACATCCTCCGGCAAGGTTTTGAAAGACGTCGATGGCACTGAAAAGTTATCTCAATTGGGTCTTAGAAACAATTGTAAGGTTATGGCCACTAAGATCTCCGTTGATCAAGGCAAATTGAAGCAAGAATTTTTCGCTAAAGAAGAGCGCTGTAAGCGACACTCCAGGCTCAAGTTAGCATCTTCTCCGGTCATCTTGATTATGTTATTCCTTCCCCTAAACCTTTATTTTGGTGATCGTAAAAAGTTCATATGCGGTGCTTCTCAATTACTTCAGGGTTTTACCTTTTGGTGGATTCTTTCAATTTCGGGCATGAAAATATGTGGGGGTTGTTTGGGTAATCGAAGTATTTGATCTTATTATGATTGATAATATATTGGATTGACGATTGACTTGATTGATAAAAGTGACTGTTCGGGAATTTGATTTCAGTAAACCTTGGACATTTTGTATGTATTAGGGTAGGTGTTATTGGTGTTTAAATTGATGGTTCACAGTGTGAAGCAGAGTTGGTTTTGTTGTTTTATAGCCTAGGTCTGAAGGATGCATTAGTTTCTGCCGATTCTCTTGGTCTCATCTCTTGCTTGATTCCTATAATAGATCTGCCACGACTTTACTAGCCTAAAGACATGCTGACGATTCCTTATCTATTGAAGACTTTAACCTTGAATTGGAGAACCAGAGGTGGGAGACAGTAAAGCTGGGCTCGATACAAACTAGTCAAGTGTATAAGCTAGTTTTTGCATTTTTTGACTACAATGATCAACTTACATGGTGTAAAGAAACCAACTAGTCAAGTGTCGTTGCCTACTATTGGACTACTTCTCACATCATTTTGCACGCTAGGTTATTGTTTTTATTGAAATTATAGATGTATGTTAAATAATACTCTAATGACATTTTAACAAAATATAAATTATAAGAGTTGAAATACTTTCAAACTAAATGAATTTATTTTTTTAAAATAAATAAATAAATAAAATAAGCAAAAGCTAAAACCAACCCAATTACTTGACCATCCGAACAGAAAATTTGGAATCCCAATTGAATTTGCAGTCAATTCCATTATTTTGCCGAACGCAGAAATTAACATTGAATTAGAATATCTTGAATGCCAATGTAATCCCAAAATATTCTAATACCAATGCAATTGCAACGCCAAGCAACCGAACACACCCTGAGGGCTTCATTTCAAGTCTTTCAAAGTTAAAATTAAATTCTTTCTAGATGAATTCAAAAAAAATCGGTTAAACTACGCGGGCAGGTCGTCAACTTTCTTTTCAACATTTAAAACCCAAATGACCATTCTGCAATAAGTAAAGGAATTGGGGTCCAAAATTAAAATCGCCTGAATCTTCTTCTTCCTTTCTACGCCAGGAAAAAGACAGTGCCGCTGCCGCCGCCGCTGCCGCCGCCGCCTTTATAAAAAAAAATTGAGATTCCGGCCTCCGAGCGTATACACTGGTCCCGCCGGATATAAATCACTAAATCCTCCCTATTTGAAGGGCCCATTATCCAGGTTCTTTGGTCTCATATTATCATCATACTTTATAGAAGCTTTGGGCTATAGTGTTATATTAGTCTTCTGAGTTCTTATTCTTTCGATACTATATGATTTCCCATTCATCAGACTTAGCTACTTGGCTGTCAAAATTCAATTTTTCAATGTTAGTTCATTGATTAAGTGCCAATTGAAAGGAACAACATTCGTGTTATTTCCTGTGATGGATTTTTCCCTTTCATAGACTGCTTATTTTATATGTTAGCTCTCCTCTTTTAATCATATTTGTGGTTAGCGGAATCATCAATTTAGCATTGCGCTAAATTTCTTTTTGCTTGTTCACTATCAATATTCATTTCTTAATGTTAGTTTAGTGGTGAGGATTACTTAGCAGAAATAGTATTCATCATCTCCATTGATGGTAGACATCAACTGCATAACCAAGTTCATCCTTGAAGCGAACCCGCAAAATTTAACCAAAAATCTCCCTGCATTAGCTCAGTGGACCCCGGAAATTGTCCACAAAATTCTCAAACGCCTGTGGAATCATGGTCCAAAGGCCCTAGAATTCTTCAAAATCCTTGATGCTCATCATTCTTATAGTCACTCTGCTACTGCTTTTGACTATACCATCGACATTGCTGGGAGAATGCGTGATTACAAGACCCTATGGACTCTCGTGGACCAAATGAAGGCCAGAAACCTCGGACCTAGCCCAAAAACCTTTGCCATCATCTTAGAACGGTATGTATCTTCTGGCAAAGCTGATAAAGCCACTGACATTTTCTTGTCCATGCACCAACATGGCTGTCCTCAGGATTTGAATTCATTTAATGCTTTCCTTGATGTGCTTTGTAAGGCGAAAAGGGCCGAAAAGGCTTACAATCTTTTGAAGTTATTCGGGGGGAGATTTAGGTCTGATGTCTTTAGTTATAACATCGTCACAAGTGGGTTCTGTTTGATTAAACGTACTCCAAAGGCATTGAATATATTGAAGGAAATGGTGGAGAAGAGAGGGTTGGAGCCGAATGTGATGACTTATAACATAATGCTTAACGGATTCTTTAGAGCTGGCCAAATTAAAGAAGCTTGGAAGTTTTTCTTGCAAATGAAGAGACGGAAATGTGAGATTGATGTGGTCACATATACAACAATGGTCCATGGATTTGGTGTTGCAGGCGATGTTGAGAAATCCCAGGCGCTGTTTGATGAAATGGTCCAGAATGGAGTACTTCCTTCAGTTGCGACGTATAATGCTCTTATACAAGTTTTATGCAAGAAAGATAATGTGGAAAATGCTCTTTCAGCGCTTGACCAAATGATGAGGAAGGGTTATGTGCCCAATATAACAACATTCAATGTGGTTATTAGAGGTTTATGTCATGCTGGGATGATGGGAAGGGCAGTGGAATATATCGATAGGATGGAAGATAGTGAATGTGAACCGAATGTTCAGACATACAATCTTGTCATCCGGTACTATTGCAATGCTGGAGACATAGACAAGGCGTTGGAATTCTTTGGGAAAATGGGTAGGGAACTCTGCCTACCGAACTTAGATACCTATAACATCCTGATTAGTGCAATGTTTGTCAGGAAGAGATCAGATGATTTAGTTGTGGCAGCTAAGTTGTTGATTGAAATGACAGAAAGAGGATTCCTGCCTCGTAAATTTAATTTCAACCGTGTTCTAAATGGCCTTTTGTTAACCGGGAATCAAGAGTTTGCAAGAGAGATTTTGAGGCTACAGAGCAGATTTGGCCGGGTTCCTCGTCATTTTAGGCTATGATTGTCCCATTGCCTCCAACTATGGTCAGCCAAATTTGCACGTCCAACGGCTTTGAGTCAGCTAGGGCCACACATTTGGCAATTTGGCTTCTGATTCAATTTGCATAATCTGTTTGATGGTAAGTTTTCTTGGAAATTTGTTTCATTTTCATTATTGGGAACTTTATTCCCATGCCATTCATGAATATATCGGATGGTATTGAACTTTATTGACTTTGAACTTTCACTTTGGTCCATCACTTGCGGCAACTTTGAAGCCAAATTCTTGGATGTGCTGCTTTTTATGTTTGATAGTATTCAATTTTCACTGTCTCGTCGTCTATGTTGTTTTGCACTTTGAAAGTTTCTTTTGTTTGAAAGTTTTCTCAAACACCTAGCTTTAGGCTCTTGTGTGTTCCTCTGTCAAGATTAAGTCTGCAGTGCTTTATATATAATGATCTAGTTGCAACCCATAGCTTGAACAAGCAGTTAATATTAAGTTAGCTGGCTTGAGCTCTATAAGAACTGAGTATCACATTTACATTAGCTTCGCCAGGCTAAAGCTTTTGGGGCTTTTCTTTGAATAACTTGCAGTGCTTCTTAATTTGACTGGTTATGCAATTGGAATTGTAAACTAATGCATCTTAAACCTCAAAAATCTGGTAGTTCAAAGTTTGAACTGCCATGACTATGGTTGAAAGCGATGAAGATGGCACGAATATAGTATCCAGTTTTTTGCTAGCAGTTAAAAGTAATAATCATCAGTTCCTTCATGTGTATGCTCTCACAGGTTGGTTTGGGAGGTCTCTTAACGCTTGTTTCTTAAATGCATCTTATTCTTCTTTCTTTTCGCCCTTAATTGGCAGGTTTAATTTTGGTTCCACTAGTTAACCCAGCGAATTGTTGGAAGAAATTGAGGAGAAACTACTGCATTGGTTGCAAAATTTACAATACATCAGTTTGATTGATGCCTGCTTTCATGTCTCGTAGCACATAAAATCAATGTAACACCGAAGGTTGGTTTTCGTGTTGCTGAACCGCACCAGGTCTTATATTTAGTTTTATATGACATTAGTTGATGAAGACCGCACAGAAAATGCTGCTAATTTGTCGTGATCTGTGTGATAATTAGCAGCATTTTATAATCAATCTTCCATATTACAAGCTTGGAATCGCTTCAGTCTCTCGGCTGGTATCCACCCTGCACATGCAATTCCAGCCACTTCTATACGGCTATGGTATCCATATTATCCATCTGAAGGAGCCTAATGAGGAAGGAAATGGATCATACGTATTTACCTGCCACGGATCAAGTTCGGACCCCATTCTGAAGTCATTTTCAGGAATTTGGTGGACCACGAATCCGTTATATCTAAACAAGTAAAGGGTTCTTCAACCGGACTCAGGGATTTTGTTGATCTGATGTGCGGCCTGCTACAATCAGAAAAGGATGTGAAGCTGTTGAAGGAAGCAACAATCATAGATTCGAAACTGCCTGCTGTAGAAATAGTTCGCATCTGCAAAGGGGTCAGGGGATGATGATAAGTTTGTTCATCATGACTCTGTGGTCTGGAAAGTTGTACCGATCGCAAACAGGGGATGCAGCCATGTGGGATTCGTTGCGGCTAAACTGAAATCATTCAAGAATATATTGTTTCAGGTGATTGTCTGCATCTTCCTGCGCTTACAATTCTTCTGTGAACTCTACGATTGCCGAGCCTGGCGAAATTATGGATTGCCATTGTTATTATTTGGAACTTGGAAGGGATCTTTCCGGTGGAGATTGCAACACCAATTAATTATGATTATCACTTGTATCAGTTGTCGGGATTGAATAATCCTCATGATCGGCCTCAAGTACTCATGATACCGCCCAGAAAATTGTTTCTTCATTAATTAATACAGTAGTTTCCTGAAAGAAGATGAGGATGATGATGATGGTACCATTTGCTGGTCAAAGGTCTTCATTGTTGCTATTAGTGATTTCCTTCTTTTTTGGTGTGTGTTTGTGCCTTTTTTTTTTTTTTTAAAGATCAAATCGATGTTTGATGTAGTGATACTTATTGGAGAACATGATTCCATTATTCATTTCATTATTCGTTGTATGGCCAGAAACCCGGACGAAACTGTTGCTTACGGGGCAGCTGTTCAGGCCGCATTCTTGAGCGGCCAGTGCAATGCCAAGGTTCAGGAGCTTGTACTTTTGGAAGATACCCCATAATCCCTAAGAGTTCAATTGATAAGAGAAGACATGGATGTTGTGATTCCGAGGAATACTACCATTCCGACCTGAAAAACATCACTGGCGACTACTGGATTGGACAACCAATCTTCCATAAGTTTTAAAGTGTTCGAAGGAGAGAGAGCGAGATCAACCGACAACAATCTGTTGGGTGAATTCAGGCTCGCCAGCATTCAAATAGCCCCAAGGGGAATCCCTGATATCAAACTTAGCTTTGATTTGCAAGGCAATGGAATTTTGAACGTCCATGCGCAGGATAAGATCACATTTGCAGAGAAGAGCATCAGCCTCACCAGTGGAAGACTATCAAGGGAGGAAATAGAGAAGATGGTAGAGGAAGCCAAGAAGTTCAAAGCCGAGGACCAAAAACTCAGAAACAAGTGTAATGCAAAAAGCGACTTTGAAAAGTACTTTTGTCGGATCAGGGATAGATTGAACACTGATGAAACCATGTCTTTTACGGACAGAAAGAAGGCTAAAGATGCAATTAAGAAGGCCTTTCAGTGGTTGGATAATTTGGATGCTGCAAAAATGCTTGCTGAAGTTCATGAATATCAGGAGAAGAGGAAAGAACTCGTTCATTCTCATCTTGAAATGAAATTTGCAGATTGCAAGAGCTAGCTTTAGAATACTTCGTACTTATTTTGAATTTCCTGCTCAAAATCTCAAGGCAAATATCACTTTAGAGATTAATTCAATCTTGCGCGCTGCTTTGAACTGGTGGTATTACCGGTTCAATCTACACTATTCATGATTAGCCACATGTGGATTAAACGGTTCAATCAATTATTATACCAAAGTGGAGTACTTATAAACATCAATCAGTATTTCTGAAGTCGATAATGTATTAGGGTTCAGTAATATACAAGGAGGGTTCACTACACATACCGTAATATGATCATTGGTTCGCTTGTAGATTGGTTTAATTAATTACAGAAAGGATATAGAATTCGTTTATTTGTTTATTCGTTTATAGAAAGTGTACTTTTTCAAATTCAAAAGATTCTTCATTCAATCCATTCTAGCAAGTGGAGATAGTCAAGTGCTCGCTATTAGCTAGCTCGTTTATCTTCATGCATTTCAAAAGCAAAAAAAGAGAACCCCTTATTTTGCATTCAAAATCTCTTCGTGTGAGCGGATGAATTTAGAAACATTCAAAATCTCACATGAATAAAATAAAATAACTTGATATATGAGAGGAAGATTGCAATCACCAATCATGTTTCTGTATCAATCGACTAAACATTATTAGACAAATAAACTCGTGTCAACGGGATAAATTCCAGGGTGAGATTGAAATTAAAGAGGTAGTATTGTAGCCAGAACTGGCCCTGTATAGCCAATTTCCGAAATGCCAAAAATGTTCAGATCATTTCTTAATTCCAAATGTCAAAATAAAATAAATATTGTCCATACAATATTAAATTCACATCCATTAAATATTATTTTTCACGTAATTTTCATCCACCACCATTGAAGCACCAATCGGCACTAACAGACCACAACCCTTTCACAACTACAGTATAACCTATATACAGCCATCGCCGAACCATAATCTGTCGACACCACAGTGATACTTAAATGGTCCACTGATGGTGGATAACTTAATAATTTTATTCAAAAATTTATACATACTACATCACAAATTCTCATTTAAAACACCTTTCCAATCACATTTCAAATCTAATTAATACGAAAATTAAAACGAAAACATTACACATAAGACAAACCCCAATATATATAAAGTAAAATGAAATTTCCGATTGTTTTTTCTTTCTTTTTTTTTCTCTGTTTGAAACTTTGGAACTAAAAGAAAAATAAAATGAAGCTGGAAATGTTAAGCGTGAAATATTTCTTTTATAAAGAAACAACTAATAAAGTCTAAACATGATAGAATAGTACTGCACTTAAAGTGATTTTTTTTAAACAACAATAGAAGTACCAAATAAGTCGTGTTGTAAAAAAATTCGGGTCACATCAAAACAAAAGTTAGTATGTAACCAAGTAGTATAAAATTCAACTCCCGATAAAAATGTCCCTCCAAATACGTACTGCTCGCAATAATCAAGGGAATGGTACTATATCGATAAGTGTCTTTGTACTATATTGTTAATAATTGTGAATTTACAATGTAGTATTTTTTTAGTACTCCCTTCGTTCCAAAATAAGTGTCATTCTAAAGTTTACACACAGTTTAAGAAAACATTAAATATGATAACTAAATTACTAGAATATTCTCAACCAACCCCATCAAAATAAATGCTCACCAAGAATATTATTTCTTTTGAGGGTATGTTTGGAAATTTTTGGCAAAAAATGCATTGAAATCTGAAAACGACACTTATTTTGAAATTTCTCCATTTTGTCAAAACGACACTTATTTTGGAATGGAGAAAGTACTAGCTTTTAAGGTTTCTACACGAAGATTAAGAAACTTGTCGATGTGTCAAGTAGTTTCTGTTCTCAATTTCTACTTTACTCTCAAACAAGGATGCCTATAGCTTGGAGTAAGTACTTACTAGTCCCTTCATTTTGAAATATATGTCATGTTAGGATTTGGTAAACTCTTTTTAATTATATGTCGTTTTTACAAATCGATGCATATTTGATCATTTTTTACTAATATTACCCTTGTATTAGAAATGAAACAGTATTTATAATGAATTTCTATCGGTTTGTGATGAATTGTATAGACAATAAATAAAGATATTTTTGTATTTTAACTACATTAATTAATGTGTTCTTGATTTGATGATTTCTCCAGAAAGACATATAAAAAATAATGGAGGGAGTACTTAATACACTCCATTTGAAAGATTAGAATAATAAAAGTGCTATGAAAAGGTAAAACAAAACTCTAAAAGTGACATTAAAAGATACGAATGAGTACTATAAATTAATGGCTTTAGCTTCCCCACCAGTTGGTATTACGAGGTGAACTTCTCCATTTCCTGTAACAAAAAGTCTTCAACTCACAAATTCACAGTCATCTTTCCCGAGTGAACTTAAGTGTAGATGCAACGTATACTAGGTACTCGATGCTATGCATCAATCCGTCAACAGTCAAGGAACCGTTACTAATTGCACTGACTCTTTAGTTTCTGGCCATAGCCATATAAAATATATCAACCATCTTATGAAGCCTTATGTTATTGAGAGTTGATTCTCTTTGGCACTCATACGTGATTTTAGACAACAGAAATTGGAATGAGTCATACCGGAGGTAATATGGCAATTGGTATCGACTGAGGGACGACGTATTCGTGTGTTGGGTACTGGAAACACGACAGGGTTGAGATCATAACGAATGACCAAGGCAAAGGAACCACCCGGTCTTATGTAGCTTTTACTGATGAAGAACGTCTCGTTGGCGATGCAGCTTTCAACCAAGTTGCGCTGAATCCCGTCAACACCGTTTTCGGTAACTGATTTTAATGTACTTTAAGTGATATACTTGGCGTAGTTCCTTGGTTTTTGTTGTTTCCTAAGTCCTAAATATGTCGGTTGATCAAAAAAGTTGCGGAGATTACACTATGTCTATATTGTTTTGCTCTGATTAATTTTCATTGCTGTTTTCTTTTTTGTATTTATTTGTCCCTCTTCTGAGTAGTGGATTGTAGATTACAAATCAAATTATAATTGGCTGGTTGCTAATAGCTTTGCTTGAGATTGATACTATGCTTAATGACTATCCAACAATAAATGTTGACACCGATGATTATAATTTTTGTTCCTTGATTGCACGTTTTCCCGGTTCAAACATTTTTGTTAGAGACACTAACCTCAAAAGAGTCTGTAAGACATGTTGATACAAATCATTTTATTATTTATTTCCTTGATTACAGATGCTAAGAGATTGATTGGGAGAAAATACAGCAACGAGTCTGTTCAGAGTAACATTAAACTCTGGCCATTCAAAGTCATCCCCGACGATCAGGACAATCCGATGATTGAAGTTACCTACAAAGGTGAACAAAAGCAATTTGCAGCAGAGGAAATTTCCTCCATGGTGTTAGCAAAGATGAAGCAGATTGCCGAGACGTACATTGGGTCAACCGTTAATAATGCGGTTATTACAGTCCCTGCCTATTTCACTTATTTTCAGCGTAGGGCAACACAGGATGCCGGAGAGATTGCCGGTATTAAGGTATTAAGTATCCTCAATGAACCTACTGTTGCTGCTATTGCGTACTATGTCGACAATCAGTTCAGCATCAAGGGAAAAAGGAACCTTCTGATCTTTGATCTTGGGGGTGGTACTCTTGATGTTTCAGCTCTCACCATTGAAAATGGTCGCATTGAAGTGAAAGCTATTGTTGGTGATACTCACCTTGGTGGGGAAGACTTTGACAATAGGATGGTGAACCACTTCATTAAGGAATTCAAGCGGAAACACGAAAAGGATATCAGTGACAATCCGAGAGCAATCAAGAGGTTAAGAACGAAATGTGAAAGGGCAAAGAGGATCCTCTCATCTTCTGCCCTGACAAGAATTGAGATTGATTCAGTGTACGAAGGCATTGATTTTTCAGCACCAATCACCCGAGCAAAATTCGAGGAATTGAACTCAGATTTATTTATCAAGTCCATGGAGGCAGTAGAGAAGTGTTTGGCAGATGCCCGTATGAGTAAGAATGATGTGGATGATGTTGTGTTGGTGGGTGGCTCGAGCAGGATTCCACGAGTCCAAAAAATGTTGAAAGACTTGCTAAATGGCAAGGAGTCTTGCAAGAACATCAACCTAGATGAAGCGGTTGCTTACGGCGCAGCTGTTCAGGCAGCATTCTTCAGCGGCCAGTGTAGTGCCAAGGTTCAGGAGCTTGTGCTTGTGGAAGTCACTCCATTATCCCTAGGTATAGAAGTGATAGGAGAAGTCATGGTTGTAGTGATTCCTCGGAACACCCCCACCCCTTCCCGAAAGACATCAAAGCATAGTACTGCATTGGACAACCGAACAGCCACAGTATTTAAAGTGTTCGAAGGAGAAAGAGCCAGATCAACGAACAACAATTTGTTGGGTCAATTCGAGCTCACAGGCATTCAAATAGCCCCAAGGACAGTTCCTGAACTCGAAGTCAGCTTTGATTTGCAAGCCAATGGAATTTTGAATGTCTCAGCACGGGATAAAATCACATTGGCAGAGAACAGCATCAGCATCACTAGGGGAAGACTATCAAGGGATGAAATAGATAAGATGGTAGAGGAAGCCAACCAGTTCAAAACCGAGGATGAAAAACACCGGAAGAAGTATGAAGCGATGTGTGCATTTGTGAATTACTTTTGTCAGATGAGGGATAACATAGATAAAGGCAGCATGTCCGGCCCTGACAGAAAGAAAGCTACAGATGCAATAAGGAAGGCTTTCCAGTGGGTGGACAACTTGAATGAACAGAGAAAGCTTGCTGAAGTTCATGAATACGAGGCAAAGAGAAAGGAACTTGTTGCTTCTTATCTTGAAACTAAGGGCTGACTGAACAACTTAGAGCTATAATGGTATGCTTCATTTTTTTTTTCCTTTTCTGCTAAAAAAACTTAAGGCCAATTGTTATTTGCTATTTTGTTTGAATGTTAGTCCCGGTTTTCATTCTACACGATTCATGATCAGCAACTCGTGTGAGATTAATGGTTTAATCAATTATATGATAAAAGTTTTTGAGGATCATCCGGACACTGACGTTGATATCTTGATCTCTAACATGGTGAAATCTCTTTGTAAGAACCGAGTACCCCCACTGTAAATGGCAATCTACAGGCCTATTTGATCACCTGAACCGACAAAAATGGGGATAAAGGAATTCAATTCTTTTATGTATTCCATTGATGAGTCCATATCCATCACCGAGACTGTACCGGCCCGCCAACGGTAGAAAGAGTCCAACCGGGACTCTTAGGGCGGTGTAAGCTCCTGAAACCTAGTTGGATTCAGAAATATTCCAGATAATCTCATACCTATAAATAGGATAGCTCATACCACAATACATGTACGCAATCCATAGCCAAACAAACTACCTACCTAAACTTTCTAGCAACCCTTTTACTGACTTAAGCATCGAAGTGTCTACCCTCAGGAGACCCCGAGGCCCTGTTTTGCAGGAAACCCTAACCGGAGTTCCACCACTAAACCGGTGGCGCATATCCAAGCATCATCAAGTGGCACGCTTGGTGGGACCTGAAAATTAGGGTTTGTGTCACAGAAACCTTCTCAGGTTTCCTTAACACCTTTCCATACCAACTAGGGTTGCCGGAACAATCAATACGATGGTCAGAGTTGAAGAAGACACCGGTAGCACGGCATCCTCCGGCCACCAGCATAGTCTAGGGGACGATACCCCCCTAGCTGAATTCCAACGCCGGCAAGAAAAAAGAAAGACAGGAAGAAGCCACGGCGGAGAACCTGAGAAAGAACCAACAAAAGAGCATTTGGTTCTTGGCGTTTCACAGCCCGAACCGAAAAAACAAAACAAAACCAATCATCCACCTGAAAAAGAGGATATACCTCCTCCTCGAAATACCCCCACTGCTACCAATCATTTGGAAGACCAGAAATTAGCCAAAATCGAGGCTGAACTCAAGAAACTAGGCGATGATAGCGATCAACAACAGAGGATGCGGAGATATGTTCTCGAAGAAACCAGGCGGCGTTGTCTCCTTGGACAACCCGACCCCACAGCACAAGAGTTGGAGGATTTGATCGACGAAAAAGAAGTTCGCAGAACCCTAGCCCTTCTCGAGAAGAAACGGGGCAAGCGGAAAGTCCAAGAGCAGAAAAATTACCAAGAAACCGAGGAGTACGAAAACCCCCACGAAGAACGCTCGTATGCTACCAGAGATACTGTATTCTGGAATGCTTTCAGAGAAAGATGTCCAGCCTTCGATACCGCTCTCGAGGAATTCAACGCAATATACCAACGTAGGGACACTAGGGAGAATCACGACCCCCCGAGTGTTGAGATCATCGAAGGAGAACAGGGAAACCCAACAAGGCGAACTAATGTACATAATCGCTTCGAATTTAATTGGAATCGAAGAAGCCCTCGAAGAGGTGAGTATAGACATGACTACGAACCGCATCGAGGCCACAACAACATCGAGGGCAACTATGACCAAGAATACCGTCACCGCCCTCGATATTCACCTCCAAGACAAAAGCAACATAATCGGTATAGAGAAAATCCTCCATGTTTCCAGGGAGATCAACAGGGAACAAGAGACCAGAATACCTTGATCCGAGAGGAAATGAGAAAGATTATTGGGATAGGGCTAGACCGGAGCCCCTTTATCCCTGACATCCGGGACGAACCTAAGCCCCGAGACTTCGACTTCCCTAAAGAATTCAAACCATATTCAGGAGATACTGATGTCTCCCAATGGCTACAAGGATATGTCCAAATCATGAGAATCCGAAATGCAACCATGAACTTCATGGCAAAAGCGCTACCCTCCTACTTATCCGGGTCAGCACATCAATGGTTTGGGCGACTACCAGAAGGAAGCATCACTAGTTTTGAGGACTTGTCTGTCAAACTAGCCACTCGATTCTTCCAGAGCAAGCGGATATCCCGGATATCCATCGACCTCTCCTCAATCAGACAAGGACAGCATGAAAGTCTAACCGACTTTCACAGACGATTCATACAAGAAACCTTGCAGGTCGACAACATCGATGATCGAGATGTTCGTAACGGATTCATCCAAGGCCTTAACCCCTTCGGTAAATCCTCAATGTTGCAAATTAAACTCTCGACCAAACTCCCTAGGAATGATCAAGAGATGTGGGCTATCGTCGAGAACCACATACAACGAGAGCACACGCTCAAGAGGTCCCAAGAATCCTTCGCCTCGGTAGGACCAAAGAATAAGCCAAGAATCCCCCTGGAAAACAAATCAGCACTGCCCGAGATAGATAGGCAATTAACACCTTTAACCAAGCTCCGACGAGTTTTCGTCTAGATCCATAGGGATGAATTGCCAACTCCGAAACCCTTGGCACCCAACCCAAACAGATTAACTGAACAATATTGTGAGTATCACAAAGATCACGGCCATGACACGGTGGATTGTCGAGAGCTTAAACGAGAAATCGAGAATGGGGTCAAGTCTGGGAATTTCAGCAATATGTGTAAGGAACAACCTCCCAGCAGAAGAATAACAGACCCCAGTCACGAGATCATCCTAAAAGAAACTTCAGGGGCCCACCACAGCGAGACGGACGAGGAAATAATTGGCAACCGAGAGCTAATACCCCACAACAACATTATCCCATCACCGAAGCAGCACCACAGCCACTCCAACAACTCCCCCCGGCGGATCCAACGAAGCTAATCACTCACCAGGTGGAAGCTATTTACGGAGCTCCCCTCGAAGTCTTATCCACTACAGCCATGAAGAACTCATTGCGAACTGTCACTAAGACTCCTCGACAAGAGCCCAGCCACAAAAGGTTCAAAGGAACGGAGGCCATCGTATTCACAGATAGCGATGTGGTCCCGGATATTTGCCCCCACAATGACGCTATGGTCATAGAGGCAATAATCACAAACGTAAAAGTCGGAAGGGTTTACGTGGATAACGGCAGCGCGGTCGACTTCATATATAGTGATTGCTTCAAAAAAATAAACATCAAGAACCCTTGTATCAGCCCAACCACAATGCCCCTGATGGGATTCTTAGGCCACACTATTATCCCCACAGGGATAATTAGCTTACCCATCTCGGTAGGCTCGCATCCCAGACGGTCACCTTAACCATGGATTTCGCCCTAATAGATGTACCCTCGCCGTTCAACGTGATTCTAGGTTGACCCTGGATGTGCCAAGCACGCGCAATATGGTCGCCCTATCACTTGGTAATGAAATTCCCAACGGAATATGGAGTGGGAGTAGTGAAAGGATGCCAACGGAGCTCTCGAGAGTGCTTACTCACAGCAGTTAGAATGGGAAAGAAGACCGCACACCTTAACCCGGGCTCCGCCGTATCAGAATGCTACTCAATCCGACAAACGGTCAACCCATCAGATGCAGGAAACCCCGAGATCTCCGGCCTTCCCTCGTTCAGTACCAAAACGCGAGAACTAATCCTGAGTGAGACTGACCCCACTAAAACCGTCCAAATTGGCGTTTCTCTCCAGGACCCCTTGCTAGCCGAGATCAGCGCCTTGCTACGCGAGTTCCGTGACATATTCGCCTAGTCCCCGGCGGATATGACAGGGGTCCCTCGAGAAGTCATGGAACATAGGCTAAATGTTGATCCAAATGTCAAACCAGTGCAACAGAAGAAAAGAGTATTTGCTCGAGAACGCAACGATGTCATCAACGAGGAAACAATAAAGCTAGTCCGTGTCAACATACTCCGAGAAGTTCTATGGCCTACTTGGCTAGCCAACCCGGTCTTAGTAAGAAAACCCGACAACTCTTGGCGTATGTGCCAAGACTACACCGACCTCCACAAACATTGCCCCAAGGACTGCTACCCTCTACCAGTCATAGACCAAATGGTGGAAGGCATTGCCGGATACAGAGTCCTCAGCTTCCTCGACGCATACAAGGGATATCATCAAATCCTCATGGCACAGGAAGATGCAGAAAAGACAGCTTACATCACCTAGATAGGGGTATATTGCTACGACAAGATGCCCTTTGGATTGAAAAATGCTGGAGCCACATACCAGCATCTCGTAAACAGAACCTTTCATGACCAAATCGGCCGGAACATCGAGATTTACGTAGACGACATGGTGATAAAGACCAATAACGATAAGCAATTGGCCGCAGATATGCGGGAGATTTTCACAATATTACGCAAGATTAACATGAAACTGAATCCTAAAAAATGCACCTTCTGCGTAGGGTCAGGGAAATTCCTAGGATACTAAGTCTTCAAGGATAGAATAAGTGTTGATCCAGCTAAAATCGAGGCCATCTTAGCCATGGAAGCTCCAAAAACCGTCAAGAAAGTTCAAAACCTCACAGGCTCCTTGGCTGCCTTGAACAGGTTTCTGTCTCGAGCCGCGGAGAGAAACCTTCCATTTTTCCATATCTCCGCAAGGGCAGAAAATTCGAGTGGAATGAAGAATGCCAGAAAGCCTTCCAAGACCTGAAAGAGCACCTCAAACAGTTGCCCACACTAGCCAAGCCTGAGCCAGGAGAAACACTATACATTTACCTGGCGGCTCGAGAGAAAGCCGTCTCGGCAGTGCTCGTGCAGTGCAAAGACGGCAGAGAAGTCCCCGTCTATTTTGTTAGCAAAGTCTTGCAAGGAGCGGAAACCCGTTACACACCCATGGAAAGGCTTAACGTCGGCCTAGTCTTAGCCGCACGACGTCTGCGTCCATACTTTCAAGCACACCCCATCATGGTTTTAACGGAACAACCAATTCAACAAGTCCTACTAAAGCCAGAAGCGTCCGGCAGGATGATGAAATGGGCAGTCGAATTGGGCGAGCACCACATTGAATACAAGCCCCGATCAGCCATCAAAGGACAAGCCTTCGCAGATTTCTTAGTAGAAACGCCTCGAGCTATCGAAGTCGAGGAAACGGCGGAGCCTAAAGATGATCCCACTACTCGCGTCGACATCAACCCTCGAGCCTGGTCACTATACATCGACGGATCTCGTTGCGATGAAGGGGGAGGAGCCG